GGAAGACCAAGAAGAATACGGATTGAAGGAGTAACTGACACCCTGAGACTGCATAACACCACTGCATATCAAACGACTGAACACGCCTTGGCTAAGCTGCCGATCGTCTGATGAACTGCGATGCCTAGCAGCATAAGCAGAAATTGACAGAAGAAGAAGAGAAATGTTTAATTAAGAATCTACATCGCAGTACGCGGGACATTCATATAAGCGCTCCATACCCATCTTCAGGAGCATGCGCAAAGTTCTAATTCCAGTGGTACCAATAGCAGTCTGATTGTATATCCGTCTCACCTTTCCCTTGAGTGCTGATCATCGACCAAATCCCCTGGTCACTACCAGCAGTACCATTTTCTTCAGACCACAATGATCCCTCTTTTTTTCTGCACTTTACACTTGACCCAAAAGGCCTTTACAACATCTATTTTATTAAACATCAAATCACCTCCAAGTTGTGCAGATCAACCAGTCTACCTGCCTGTTCATTTCCTAATACTCTGGTATGTCCTGGGGAGTGAAGAGTCTGAGAAGAAATACATCAAACACAGAGGTTGACAACAATGCAGTGAAATCCCATGCTATCATTGTGGAAGACTTTTCTTATCACGGGCTAGTCTTGCTTGTCACACTCGTTATTGCCATAGGATGTCAGTTCCATGTCTTCTCATAGCACAATATAACACAATCATCTGTAAAGATGGGAAAGTGCCTATCAATCAAAATGGATGTGAATGCAAAACTCAAATTCTGGAACAAGTTCAAAGTGGATGAAGAACCAAACATTTCTGTCAAGGTTTTAGCAGCCAGTGAACCCGAAGGCAATAATGATTACCCACTATAGTTCCACAAATTGTAACTGCTGCAGTTTCAAAATCCTTTATCATGCCATCATATAAATCAATAATATGTTCAAAGAAAAGCTTCAACCATTGCATAACAATAGGTTCAAAAGAATAATTTACTATGGCTCTCATATCAATAACGATCACATGTTAAGCTTTCAGATTAATTAACAACCATGCATTAAATCTCCTAAAATAATTACCCAACAGACATAACATATAAAATAATTAATCAAGACATAGTACATGTCTAAAATAATTACTCCCCCACATACATATTAACATTCTAAATCTGTTAAAAACACAATAAACATAACAGGTGGCGATACCAGTTACAATTGTGTAGGATAATAGTGGGTTACCATGGTGAAGTAATCAAGTCATTTGTCTTGTGCTCTAAAGGTTACGGGGTTCATTTCACAGACGTGTTGTTCAGTTCAGTGGTTCTTTTCTGCTTTTCCACCCCATCTCTGGAGCTCGAGATTTTGTAGGGAAATTCTAGGGAATTCCCTGGAATGTCCTATGGTATAGGGGGGTTAGAGTTAGTGTTAGTCAGTATTCATTTAACACTTATCATAAAGCACTAAAACTCCTATATTCTACTGGAGTCATGTGTTGATTGTTTTCAGCACTTTTATCGTTCATTGCCTCATCATGTCCAGTGTGTGTTACTTTCCTTTGATCATCGCCATCACTGTGCATGTTTGTCTCTAGTATGAACTTCACTGTCTTTTGTCATTCACTAAGTGACCCGTAAAGTTTGTCTCTAGTATGAACTTCACCGTCTTTTGTCATTCACTAAGTGACACGTAAAGTTTGGCTTCAATAAAAGTGAGTGATATCTACAACTATGAACCTCAAAGGCATGCTGAAGAAGTAGAAGAAGCACTGGATTTTATTTTAAAAGACATGAAGTAATATTAATTTTTACATTTCAATATGCAGACCAAATTATAAAAGCACAGCGTAAGCAAAATCTGGCTGCGCGCACCCCCCCCCCCCTCCCCCCAACAACATAGAAAGGTGCCCAAGCTGGAACAAAATTCACAGATAATATACCATTTCATGCACAATATAGCAACAATTGCATAGGAATGCTGATAAAAGAACAAAAGAACAGAGGTGCAGGGGATTTCATGCATAATATAGCAACAATTGCATAGGAATGGAAAACAGAAAAACTGATTAATGAACAAACTTTATTAATCCTTCAGTCCTAAAAATTGCAACCTACGCCAATACGTGCCTACCTAGAAGCCCAGTGAACACAAGATGCATTGCATTAGTACCTTTTTTTTTCTTCTTTTTACTAACCCTTGGGCCTCTGATGCTATACCTTCTGGGACTGAAAAGGTTAAATGAACTTGTTCAAAAGTGTCTCCTACCTTACCCACATAATAATAGATGTTCGCTGATAGCAAAACAGAAGTCAAGCAGATCTGAATGGTACATCCTGTATTCCACATAATGGCTAAAGTTTTATCTCATACCATATTGGAGATTGTTATCCACAATTTGTATAATATTCAAAAGGCTATCTTCCACAATATGGGAAATATTCTATAAACAGATCAAATTTGTGACATGCATGCGCGCGCGCACACACACACACACACACACAGAAATATATATATACATATAGGCTATATTATAAAGATCAAAACTGTCATGCACAATATGTGAAATATTTTTTTTAAATCAATGTTATCATTCATAATATGTAAAATAGTTACAAAAAAATCCAGTTTGAATCCACAGTATGTAAAATATTCTATAAAGATCAAAGTAGGCATCCACAAAATGTGGAAAAATTTTATAAAGATCAAAGTTGTCATCCCCAAAAAAGAGTAAGTTTGAATTAGGAGAAAATTAATTGATTCACAAAGAATGATACAGAAAAGACATAACTGACAGCAAAGCTGGATGTGTGTTAGGCTGAATCACAAAGATAAGAAATAAAAGCTGTATTGCGAACTGTTGAGATCTGAATACGCTCTTTGGAATGTTTAGCACTATCTTGAAAACACTTTTTAATATAGTACAGCAACAACAAATTAGAACATTCAAACTCATGATAATATATACAGTATAGACGCAATACAGGCACACCATATATGTTTATGTTGCATCAGATACTTTATGTCACACCATTAGGTTAAATCCATATTATCTTATATTTATTTCACACATCGTGTCTATGCTTCTTGATTTCAAATTGGGTTCTTCTCATTCACGTTCATCATGGCTTTCTGTGAAGGACCCCCCCACTGTAAGTAATTTAAGGTAATTTGTTATCTATACAGATGGTTTGGTGTTGAGAGGAAAGTTAAGTGTCTGGAAGTGAATAGCGAAAGCCAATGAAAAATCTTTAGTGCAAGACAGCCTGGCATATGACACTACAACATCTAGCATGAGAATGGGGGTTGAGGCTGTAACTACAGCTCTCCGGTGGCTAGAGAATAAGATGCATACACATTGTAATTGTAAAAGACTGAAAGCAGGCTGAAAAAGGTGAATACAGGGATGCTTCGAGCAGAGTGGCAAGCTTCACTGGAAAGGTCACTGGTAGTGAGCATACTTTGGATCTTTTCTCCAGGCCATGCCGGCATGGTGGGTAATGAACAAGCAGATAAATTGGCTGAATCTGCACCAATGGGTGTTGAATTGATACATGACAAGGCAGATGTGGTCAAGGCCCTTTAGGAACAAGCAGAATCAGCTGAGATAAAAGATTATTATGGCCTGGAGAGAATGAGGCGTCTGGGTTTAACCAGAGGGTCTGGCCGGCTCAATACACTCAGAGGAAAGGCAAGACGGATATATAACCAGATTGTGACCGGCACCATCAGTATTTGAACTCTGCGCTGGCTGCTGAAGATGAGGATGGAGCAGGCATGGGAATACCCCGAGCGCTGTTATGTCAGTTCTTGACTCAACCTAACGCAACTAAGTAATTTGATTTCATTCCCAGTAAGGACTAGTCCCTACCAGGACATATTTGGTGGGGTACATCCCTGAAAAGACATGGCTGCAGCAATATTTTCATCAACTCCCATGCCAAAGGGCTTATTTAGCACTATTCTATGTTTATTATGGTAGGTTGTTTACTATACTATAAAGCTTTATGTGGTGTCATTCAGACTGATCTCATGCCATCTGAATTTATACCACAGTATGGACTTTACATAACAATCAATCAATCAATCCTCATCATGCTCTGAGGCACTTAAGGCAGAGACAAACTGTCGCCACTCAATTCGATCCTGAGCCATCCTCTCTATCTCCAGTTTTGTCCTTCGGGTAGCCTTGAGTTCAGCCTCAAAGGTTCACCTCCAAGTGCCTCTTCCTCGTTGTCCTTGTGGTGTCCATTGCATTGTCTGTCTCAGCCATCTCTCTTTCTTCATTTCGAGGATGTGTCCAATCCACCTACAATCTTCATTTTTGATTTCTAAATTTACATCTTCCAAGTCAGTAATTTGTTGTAATCTAGAACTGCTGATTTTATCTTCTTATGTGAACCGCAACAATCTTCTGAGAAGTCTTCCCTCAAAACCTCTGAGCATGCTCTCTATCTCTCTGTCTGATTTCCAAGTTTCTGCTCCATAGAGGAGAACTGTCCTAATGCATGTTTTGTATATCCTGAGTTGAGTTTTAGTGCTGTAGATGTTACATTACAATAGTGTCCTGGTGTTGTTACTGGTTAACATTATAAGCAAGAGTATATATTTAAAATAAAAAATCTTTCAATAAATACCTGAGCAATATACATTAATCACAATTTAAGTAGGTAGGTAGTTGTACCCCACTAGGGCATCACAAGCGATAAATACCCTGTGACACAAAGTGCCACCATGTGGATGAGGATCACCCGTGGAGAGGTCCCAGAAACCATTTCAGCCGTTAGGCCATATCTATGGCCTAGGTCATATTTATGCCCCCGCTATATTCAGGGCCCCTGGCAGAAGCCAGGGTGGGGCTTCAAATAACAAAAAATTGCATCCCACATGGGGACGACTTTGAGTTCCACAATTTATGAGAAAGGATAGCTTTCCCTTTGCTGATCAAGGTCAACAATTCCTGCAGATGAAAGCAAAATTGATGACTTATTTTTTTTTGACAACTGAGCCATCCTCACATGCAATCAGATACAGGAGGTAATTATGATAGGATTTCTTTTTCTTCTCTGGCAGCCAGTCCTTCTTTCTTTAATCTTTGCAGAATTGGGTGATAAATCTCAGCTTCCAAGGGGGCACAAACACCTTTTGTTTGAATTTCACCTGTGGATAGTAAGACAAAAAAATATATTATGAAGCACAAATATATTAATTAAAAAAACCCATTTTAAGGAATTGGTGATCAGACATATGGTGTTAAACATTTGGTTTTAAACCATATTTTTTTTTACGAGAACAGTTATCATTCAATGGGTGATATGGCAAACACCAGACCAGTCATCTTAACTTTCAAGTATATTTCCCAGTGGTCATATTCGATCTGGCATCTCTCAAATCAGTTATAAACATCTGCCTCAATGAGGATTTAAACCTTGACTTTCAGGCTACAAAGAAAACATCTAGCCACTGTGCTACCACATAAAAATTATGTAATTTTTTTGTATTTTCTGAAACCTGAAGTACAAATAAAACAGCCCCATTACAAACTTTTGGAAACTTGCAATGAATCTATGGACTCAAAGATGCAAACAATGGAAAATGAAGAGTCAGAAGCAACAAGGAAATTCATATGTTTAAATTACCACTTTTTACTAGCATCATGAAGGCTGATAGGCTGCAATGGTTGGGATATATAAAGAGAGTTGCAGATAATAGAGAGAAAACAAAATAGTTGAATGGGAGTACCAAGAGGCGGACCAAGAAGATGTAGAGCGATAATATACAGAAAGATCTACAAATACGTGGAGTCCGCAATTAAATAGATGAATAAAGGTAAGTTCTTCTTTTTCCTCTTTTCTTTGCTTGAAATAGATTATCTATATCTGCAATGTTGTCTCTAGTATGAACTTCATGGTCTTTTGTCATTCACTCAGTGACCCGTAAAGTTTTGCTTCAATAAAAGTGAGTTATATCTGGTAGTCTGGTAGTCTTAGTTTCAGCTTCATAGCAAACGGGTCACCCCATCTTTGCTCCGCTCCTGTGCCAACAAAAAACACACAGAATGTTTATCACAGTATTAGAATTGCAGTTCATCATTGATGGTAGCAGAAGTCGCCAACAGATCAGCAGTTGCCCACGCGATCAATTTTAATCACATACGGGCACCACAACACTGCACGACAGGCATCGCACCATTTTCTGAATCTAAAATTCACACCAACAAGTTGGTCACAGTCGAAAAAACATTCCAAATGCAATCCGCAGCTCACAGGGTCACGCCATGCATTCAACTCAGAAGCTGGGCGACAAAACTATATCCAGTCTATAAATGGAGCAAAAATGCATCGGCCACCGTTCGGCAGAAGCAAAAAATTTGCCTCTGTTTCGAACAGTGCCGCTGCCTAACGTCCATTTTGACCGGAAGTGAGTTATATCTACAGCTATGAACCTCAAAGGCATGCTGAAGAAGTAGAACAAGTACTGGATTTTATTTTAAAAGACATGAAGTTATATTCACATTTTATTATACAGACCAAATTATAAAAGCACAGCATAAGTAAAATGTTGTTTCAATAAAACCACAGTTTGATATTCATTATAAGTGTGGCGTCTCAAGGTAGAGATTTAAAACCCCCCAAAAAAAGACTGTGCTCCTAGAAGAAACTAATCTAAAATGTATACAAGGAAATATTATTGAAAGTTTTAAATTTAAAAAATGTTAATGATATTGATCAGACTGTACAACAAGAGCTGATTTTTTTAATGATGTGGACAGAAACAATACATTGCACAATTTATTGCCAGGCATATTTCGCTGCATCTCATCATGTGCATTACTACAGAGTTATATCAACATAAAATGAAGCACATAAAACTGAACAAATCCAACTGAAATGTGAAGAGTCTCTTTTGATGAAACATGCTTTGTCTAGTTGCTGGAAGTTCTCTGCAGTCACGTGGCTTACCTGGGTAACTTCAGTTTTGACCGTTGAATTAAGAATCGACACTCAGGACATTCCCATAAGGGCACCAACCCTATCTTCAGCAGTAAATGAAGAGTTCCAGTTCCGATGGTATCAGTAACTGTCTGATTGCATATCCGTCTCGCCTTTCCCTTGAGTGTTCAGCATCGGCCAGATCCTCCTGGTAACTCAGACAGTAATAATCGTAACTTCAAATTTACTATAAATCCCATCTGCCTACAAAGGAGGGGTTGTTGATTTTAATTGTTAAAGCTTCAGCCATTCTCAGCTGTTGCTTGTTCGGTGTATGATAAACCACATGAAAAGCACTGTCCTTGTCAATTACGTGTTCAGAATTAAGCAAATGACGTGCTATGGAAGAAGTGGGTTCTTTCCTCTTGACTGGTCTCAACATCCTTGAGGAATCCCTGAGTTGATTAGTCCATTAAGGGGTCACTACACCAAAAATTTTTATTTTTTTATTTACAGACTTAGAGCAGATATTTTATAATGGTCGTTTGTAGGGATACATGTTATTACATTTGTATACTTAAAGTGTTAAAAAATCATAGTTGTCATGGCAATAGCCGCCATCTTGTAAAAAAAATATGTACTGAAAATCCTAAAATTTGAAAAACAAACATAGGTATTCAACAATAGATGATAGATCCATGACCTGTTACCTTATTTAGAGGTACAGGTCTAGATTATTTACTTTAAACATGTTTTTAAATATTTTTCGTAGAATTTTAAAATGTAGGTTTATTGAAAAAGTCAAAAAAAATAGAGTATCATAAGACAATAATCAAATTTTTGAAAACAAAATCTTTCTAAAATCTACTTTTAGATAGACCAGTCCCTATAATATTCTTTATGGAGTATGCATACAAAATTTCATGTTTCTACTCTTTATATTAGCTTAGATTTTAGGATTTCCCACACACAGCAAACTGAAATATAGAGATTTGAGAAAACTGACTTTTAAACTTTTTTTTATCTTAAAAAAGTGCACGAGGTGGTGTCGTTAGTATTAACTTTTGAATGCTAAATTGTTTACAAATGACATAAATTTTGTGTGTCATCTATTCTACAAATGCCGAACTTTACAAAAACGAACACATTGAAAAAGTGATATTTTTGTCATAAATTGTGAAAAATGCCGTGTAGTGACCCCTTAAAACAACAGGGTTTTAACACCATATACCAGTTTACCTCATGAAACATACACCATACATTTATGGATCGATAAGCTTCAATACTGCAGTGTTTAATTCTTGATTTTTTTCTCTTTTCAGACAGTAATTTATTTCTCTCTTGGCAGCCATTTATAGTTTGTCTCTCCGCACACACATTTCTCAGTTTCTTTGCGTACAGTTAACTTTTTATGTTGCTTCTTCACATAAATTTGTTTTTCTAGACTTTTAGTTCAGATGATACCTGCTCGTATCTGAAAGAGTTAAGAGTTTAGTAAACACAATGTCTTATAGAGAATTCACAACCAAGTGGGCAAAGAATAAACTGACTTTCTCTAATTTTCTAATGTCCAGCTGATAAATTATAACCAATAACTGTAAAGATAATATACCCACTAGCCAGTATTCGTTAATATTAACCATACCATTTAAAATCATGCGAGCAGCAATTGCCGTAGGCAAGCCGACAGATTTGGCCATTGCTGAAAAACCTCCTGGATCTCCATAGTTGACAAAGTTGATTCTTCTCTGCTCTCTCCTGCCATCTGACCATGAGACTTGGACATCATGATGCATGACTATCATATCCCGTTCATCTGGACCTGGACATAGGGAGATCACAATTTAAATAATCTACACAGTCCTGAAATAAAAAAAGTACCTGGACTAAAAGTTTTTAATCTCTTCTTTAGACACTTTCAGATGTCAGTCTTAAAAAAAATGGAGCACATAAAGAGAATGGGACATTTGAAGGTAGGAGGAAGAGACAGACAGGCAGGCAGACAGACTGACAAACAGACTGACCAACTGACTGACAGACAGAGAGAGAGAGAGAGAGAGAGAGAGAGAGAGAGAGAGAGAGAGAGAGAGAGAGAGAGAAAAGGTACTGGACAATCTGACAACATGACCCAGAGGAACATCAGTGTTAAAAATGATTCAAAGTACACGATACAGACGTCATAACTACCAGTGCTATGTGGATTGGATGATCATTATCATCAAGTGCCCTCCCAACTAGCATTAATAATTATGTTTCTACTCATCTTGTGATGTCAAACAGCATATAACACTTCATGTGATGACACACTCCATGCCATGATGTATCATAAAACAATGTCATTCAATCATTTGTTATTTATATAGTTCTTATTGCTGTGAATGAAATGCCGGATAAAAGCCTCCAACTTAACCATCTGAGACAAAGTAAGACAAGACTGTAGAAACAACATCATGTAGCAAATTCACAGAGAAATATAAAATCAATTGGTTTGGTCATCTAGTAAGAATGTAGTCAGAACAATTACTAATACAGGCACTACACCTGAAAAGATCTGATGTGAAAGCAAGAAGCAACCTTAGGAGAAGATGGATTGACAGTAGCCATTGTTGCCCATCAAGCAATGGATCGCAAACTGTTCCTCCCCACAACACTTAATGGCAGAAGTAGAAAATGACGACGATGGTGATGATGATGAGGATGACTGTTATTATTAGAAAATTTATTAGATAAATTTTCCTACACCCACCTCAAAAACTTCAGAAACGTTACTTACCATAAAATAGCCTTTTGGAGAGGTAGTTAGACAGTGTATCTATGGGCGTGTTCCGTTTGTCTATTGGAATGTCGTCAATCAAACCCAGTCTGCATAAATATAAAACATACAAAAATGAGTGAAGAAGCAGGAGGAAAGGCTAGAGGACTGAGAGGAGGAGACTAGGAAGTAAAGGCAGGATTATAGAAGGATTTAAAAAAAAAGAGATAAGTAATTCTTTTTTTTTCTCATAGTCCATGCCTTGTGGCGTTGATATGCTGACATCCTCAACCTTCTGTCTCATGTACTTTCTCATAGTCCATGCCTTGTGGCGTTGATATGCTGACATCCTGAACCTTCTGTCTCATGTACTTTCTCATAGTCCATGCCTTGTGGCGTTGATATGCTGACATCCTGAACCTTCTGTCTCATGTACTTTCTCATAGTCCATGCCTTGTGGCGTTGATATGCTGACATCCTGAACCTTCTGTCTCATGTACTTTCTCATAGTCCATGCCTTCGTTGATATGCTGCCATCCTGAACCTTCTCATGTACTTTCTCATAGTCCATGCCTTGTGGCGTTGATATGCTGACATCCTGAACCTTCTGTGTACTTTCTCATAGTCCATGCCTTGTGGCGTTGATATGTGACATCCTGATTCTGTCTCATGTACTTTCTCATAGTCCATGCCTTGTGGCGTTGATATGCTGACATCCTGAACCTTCTGTCTCATGTACTTTCTCATAGTCCATGCCTTGTGGCGTTGATATGCTGACATCCTGAACCTTCTGTCTCATGTACTTTCTCATAGTCCATGCCTTGTGGTGTTGATATGCTGACATCCTGAACCTTCTGTCTCATGTACTTTCAAGCTATTATGAGACAGAATATTTTCCAAGCTGCTGAACACTAAGAAAAAAAAGAAGGCAATTTATGAAACACTGTTTAGATCAGTTGTCGTCCTATAAGGCTCTGAAAACTTGAGTACAGTTTAAAAGATTTCTTTTTGTAAATCCTTACTACAAAGTTTTAGAACACTCTTAGGATGAATCTTTGGACCCTTCAGAGATGCCAAAATTGAAGAATGAAGAGTGAGAAGCATCAATGTAATTCAACATTATTTAAATAACCATTAAATAATGGTATCATGAGGGCTAACAGACAATAGTAAGGGAATATTGAAAAAAAACAAATAGAGACACAACTGCATACTCAAAACAGTTGAAAAGATGTAGACCACGAGTTAGATCAAATAGACTGGGGAGAGTTAATACACAGACACACTTATGAACACTTGGAATCACCAGCTGGAAAGAGAAGGCCAATAACAAAGATGAAATGAAGTGGGTCATATCTGTAGCAATGAACCTCAGCAGCTTGGAATGCTAAAGTAGAAGAAGATGATGCTGGTACTATACACAGTTTAGTTTAATGTGATCACAGTTAAATAAATTCACCTGATAATACAATCCAGCTTAATGTGATCTCCTCCAAGCTTTTCAAGAATGTGGTCCTTTAGAGTGTCTTCCAAAAGATCACTAGATTCATTAAACTTGCTGCACATAAACTCTTTCTGTAAATGAAAAATAGAACATATGACAGTGCAAGCTCATACAGTACTTAACATAGTCTAAAGCAGGGGTTCTCAACCTGCAGGTCACAACCCCTTTTTTTTTTTTTGGGTCGAACAACCATTTCACAAGGGTCACCTAAGACCATCGGAAACCCACATTTGTTAAAGTTATGACAGAAAATAATTGTTTGGGGGTCGCCACAACATAAGGGAACTGTATTAAAAGGTTGCAGCAATACGAAGGTTGACAGCCACTGGTATAAAGGATACTTAGTCCATCATTATTGTTGTGAAGGCAGTCCTACAAATAAAGTAATTCCAGCATGTTTAAGTTTTCATGTATGGAAAGATCCCAGGTCCGGCCAGTTGATATTCTGGTGAATACCAGGCTGTGGGGATTAGCTGAGGACTTGTTTCATACTGCAGCCTTCACAGAGGCCTTAACCATTGGCAGGAAGAATAAAAGAGTAGAAGAATGTCCTCACAGATTCTAGGTCACATCATCCTGCGATATGGTGGCTAGTTCCTTTTTTTTTGAAACCCATATTTCTAGTTCCTAGATACTTATTTTATAAGGCTGAGTCAGGAAACAAAACAGAATCCCTCCCCCTCTCCCCGCGCACCCAAACAAGCAAGAGAGATAAGGCAAGTAATTAAGAGTTTGCCAAAATCCAACCTACATAAGAGGACACATCAATTTTACCCCTATCCATCCAAACCCACCCACCCACACACGGGTGCATGCACACACACATACATGCATGCATGCACACACCCACACACACAATAGAATACATATATTTTCTTACCCAGGTTATGTCTGGACCACTGGGATGAAGTTGTGAGTTTTCTTGTGTGTCAAAAAGTCCAAGAGCAACAAGACCTTTAACTGTCCTGCAGAATCCCTGGGGAGCAATGCATTAAATTCGTTACTTTCAGACATCTTTTCTTTCCATGCCCATTAACTAATACAGGGCTATTCTTCTTTTTCTATTTCTATGCGTTCACCTACTGTAAATTCTGGTAGAAAGATCTGGCTGTTCGTCATTTCTGGAATTAAGTGTTGTTCCTGAACTTGTGTTTTGTGTTCACATTCATTTTACAGATCTGACTTGTTTGTGTGCAGACTGTTGGTTCCTCGCCTCTCAGGCAGATGCACTCAGAATTTGTAGGAAAAACCCCTAATTAGTCTCCTTTTATGACAGTGGGTATTGGCTTGATCTGCACCACTGGGTGGTAAATTGATACATGACAAGGCAGATGTGGTCAAGGCCTTATGGGAAGAAATAACAAATTCAGAGGATAAACTAGATGGGCTGGAGCGAATGATGCTCCTGGGTGTGACAAGAGGTTCAGCCGGCAAACTACGCTCAGAGGGAAGGCAAGACGGACATACAACCAGGTTATGACCGGCACCATTAGTACTGGAACTCGGCACTGGCTGCTGAGGATGGGGATAGAGCGTGTATGGGAATGCCCCAAGTGTTGTGATGTCAATTCTTGACTCAACTCAACTAAATATTATCTTCTTGTCTTCTTGGGCTGCCTCATGGTCTGTACCCATTCAACACTTTTGGGCTCTACTGGCAAATCCGGACGAAGAATAAACAGCCTTGGACGACTTAGTCATTCTCTCCCGTGGCCGCACTCCAAACAGTGATCTAATCCAACAACCCCTAACCCTACCCCTAACCCTAACCCTACCCCTAACCCTACCCCTAACTCTAATCCAACAACCGCATGATGATGACTACACAACCATTCACAATGCCTCACGCAACCGTACGCAACCCTGCACGCAACCATATGATGATGCCACGAGGCCTCACGCAACCATACGAGGCCTACACACAACCGCAGGATGATAGGTAAGTGTGTCGTTTGTTTCGTTTGTTTTCCGATCACTGTTTGGAGTGCGGCCAAGGGAGAGAACTCTGACTAAGTCGTCCAAGGCTGTTTATTCTTCGTCCGGATTTGCCAGTAGAGCCCACTTTTGTGTACACCACTTTTATCTTTCTGTTTTCTACCACTCTCTGTATGGCCCAAACATATACATCCAACAAAGACTTCAAAGAATAATTGAAACAAAGCGCTATTTATAAGGCGATTCTCATTGATGTTTATTTAACGAGATCAGGGGTGGGGAATGTTTGACCCATATAAATTCGACAAAATCATTTGACAATGTGATCATGATTAAATGTTTGAATAAATATGATCAAGTGCCTAACTGACTGGCATGGGCAATCATGCCCCTCTCCCCAATATGATCAAGTGCCTAACTGACTGGCATGGGCAATCATGCCTCTCTCCCCAATATGATCAAGTGCCTAACTGACTGGCATGGGCAATCATGCCTCTCCCCAATCTGATCAAGTGCCTGACTGGCATGGGCAATCATGCCCCTCTCCCCAATCTGATCAAGTGCCTGACTGGCATGGGCAATCATGCCTCTCTCCCCAATCTGATCAAGTGCCTAACTGACTGGCATGGGCAATCATGCCTCTCCCCAATCTGATCAAGTGCCTAACTGACTGGCATGGGCAATCATGCCCCTCTCCCCAATCTGATCAACTGCCTAACTGACTGGCATGGGCAATCATGCCCCTCTCCCCAGTCTGATCAAGTGCCTAACTGACTGGCATGGGCAATCATGCCCCTCTCCCCAATCTGATCAACTGCCTAACTGACTGGCATGGGCAATCATGCCCCTCTCCCCAATCTGATCAAGTGCCTAACTGACTGGCATGGGCAATCATGCCTCTCCCCCCAATCTGATCAAGTGCCTAACTGACTGGCATGGGCAATCATGCCCCTCTCCCCAATCTGATCAAGTGCCTAACTGACTGGCATGGGCAATCATGCCTCTCCCCCCAATCTGCAACAGCCTGTTTCAGTGCATGTACCCAGACCCTTAAACCATGACCCCAAAAAACTTAACATTCTCATGTTATCCTCCTCTATCTCTTTTTTCCACTGGTCACAACATGTTCAAATTCTCTCTTCTCATAATTTAGTTTTGAAAAATTATGACTGTATCTTTCTTGTGCTTGTAGCAATAAGTTGCCTGTGAGCACTCACTTTTTTTTTTCAAAACACTTGGCTTTCATATTTTAACTGTCCATGGAATTTAAAGAATTATTCTGTAAAACCACATGTCTGAGGCATCAAGAAATTGTTTTTAGTGTAATTATTATTTGTCTAGGATTCCCAGCCATACATTAAAACTTTTCCCAAAAAAAGGCAAGCTAAATTTTAACTTTATAATTCTGTATGGTTCACATTACAGAAGAATGCTTTGAATACGTTGGACAACCAAAAAGAGCAACCAAGAGGTTTTGAAAGAGGCAGGAGCCCGAAGACAACTTATCACAGACATCAGAAGGAGACAGTCATCATTTTTTGGCGATGTTATGAGAAGAGGGAAAATAGAACATGTTGTGACCACTGGAAAGATCTGTGGAAGGAGGGATAGAGGAAGACAACGAGAGTAGATTCTTGACAGTCTTGTTACATGGCATGGAGGTGTGTCGGCACACGAAACTGATACATGCTGCAGGAGATTGTGGATTATGAAGAGGCATGATAGCCCACGCCAGTTGGCAAGGCACCTGATGATGATGATAATGGTTCACAATATTATCTAGCTTATGGGAGTGCCCCGAGTGCTAAAATGTCGGTTCTTAATTCAATCTTCAACATTCAACCATGTTATCAATTTGACCCTTGGCGTAAATTAAAAAAAAATGGAAAAAAAAAAGATTTCACATTTGAAAACCACTATTTATAAATAGAAAGTTTAGATTACCTTGTATCTGACAGTCCCTCTGAGAACTGTGTGAGCTGAGTCAATGCCGTACGTACGGGCATAGACTGTAGAGTCTCTGTTGGGAAACCCTTCAAGATTGAGCCCTGGCAGGAAGGTCAGATCTTCCACAGCATCCAGCAAGCCACCATTTCCAGCTATCTCAATAACCTGCAGAATGTTCAAAACTACAAAACCTATTTCCTCACCTTGGTTTGGTTTATACAATGGATCGACATCATGGCACAAAGGCAGTAAGCCATGAGTGCTCCGTTCTACTTCTAATGCAAACCTGAGTCTGAAGAATCTCAGCACAGAGCATGAACTCTGTAGCACCAGCAAGGATCCTGAAATACTTTGGGTAGATTTTTTCAACTCCAAATTGTACCCAGGCAGAGCCATTAGGCTACTCTTTTTGATTTCCAACTACCAAGGGATTTTTTTTGCATGTGCAACAATACACTCGGGTGTCCAGTCTTACTACCCAGAGACCAGGGGAAATTTACTAGAAGTCCACATGAAAAATCCCAGCCTTTACCAGGACCTGCTCCCGGGACCTCCAGCACTTAAGGCGGTCACCATGCCTCAAGATCACTCAGTTACCCCCCCCCCCCCCCAATCCCCCATTTTGAGATGTGTAACTGTCATCTGGTCATCACCACCCCGTGATGCTGCATGTCATTGGGTCACCAGTTTCTGTTGACAGTCTGATCAGCTCTCTTCATCTTTGCTGGTCAGTTGCAATGGACTTCATGGTTTCATGCCCGAGGCCTGTCCAGTCAAGATCTTTCTTGGTGTGCCTATTCTCCTCTAACGTGCCCTGCAGTATTGTTTCTGAGAGGTCGCTGGAACTTATTACATGTCCTTACCATTGCATTTTTTGCCTTTTCACTGCAGTTAAATGAGGTTTATAGTGCCAATGTGCTGTATAGTTATCTAGTGAACCTCTTCGTTTGTAATGTTGTCTCTGTATGATATGCCAAGAATTTGTCTGAAATATCACATTTCCAATGCTTGTAACTTCCTTTCAAGTTCAGCTGTTAAGGTCCACTTTTCACAAGATGGGTGGGACTGTCATATTTTTATATAACAATCAGCACATGAAGACTGATGTGGTCAATATCATGCCAGCCATTTTTACTTCCCTGAACATTTCCTGGTAACCATTTTTAGGCTATACTGATGATAGTTCCCAAGCAGAGCCTGAAGTTTTAATGAATCTACCCCTTGATTTTCCTCCATAGCCTAATGTGCTCCCTTAATTTTTTTTTTATTTGATCAGACAATCTAAGGAAAGCAAAGCCTCCCCAAATGGTCATAAATACTTGGAAAACTGTCATTTTAAAAGTAAAGAATTCATGATGTTTCATCATGGTTTTCATCTTAACTCTTTCAATCGCAGGGGGTTTAGCATCAGAGACCCAAGAGGTAGTAAAGAAAAACATAAGATCTGCAAATTTTGGGTTCACTGGGCTTTTAAATAGGAAGTATGAACATTTGATGTGTTCCTTGGGGCTGAAAATGTTAATTTGATAACTCCAGTGTGATTTTCTGGTACAGAATGAGCTAACATTTGGCACTGATGGGGATTTGAACCTATGGCCACTAGGTTAGAGTTAACTACTTTAGCCATATGACTAACATGGCTTACATAAAGAATATTAGGACAGCTGATTTTCTTGGTTAAATACAACCACACATGTAATTCGTTTGCACTAACTTAGAATCTAAGAATTTTCAGAAAAATCCGAATTTTATAAGAAGGAAAAGTAGACAGGAGAAAGTAGATAACCATACCTCAATACACCATGTAGATAAGTAGGTGAGCTGTGATGGGAGTAATATTGCGTAAAGAACCTGCTACAAGATGATGTTACCAATAGTTACTTTAACTCATGATGCCTTTAGTGTTGTTATGTTATTCTCTTCAGACCCAGATGTGTATTACTTTAACTCATTCAGACCCAAGCAATGCCTGGTGTGTTAATTAATCAACTCCTTGATTCTCTTCCATAGCATAATGTGCACTCTCAATTTTTTTACTTTTAATTTGTGGTAAGAACACACTAAAGAAATCTGGCTTTCTCAAATAGTCACTACCACTGTGTATATTACCACTTCGGAAGTAATTCATTCACGTTTTTTTTCATCAGTTTATTTCTTTATCTTGGAATCTTCAGTGAAACCTTGTGGTACCGAAAGAGTTGAGCTAAACAAATGTTTGGGATTTTATAAGTTACTGGGAATTTTAAAAAGTTAGGTACAGCAAGCCACATACCATCAGTGTAGATCAGATGCCTGTGTCAACTTCATTATAATGTTTAGGAAATATTGATAACAAACAGGGTTTAGATAACAGCAATTTTAATATGACAGGTATGAACATACCTTTCCATTTTTCAGGTGTTTGGCTGGAGACAAAATGTTCATGAGGACTCCTTTGGGAAACCAACTATAAAGAAAAAAGAAAAACTGCATCAGCATCTAGGAGTTCTCAGAGCATGTTAGGACAGATCATAATCGTGCACTCTGGTTTCAGGAATTGCTGTTGTCAGCAAGTCTCTCTCTCTCTCTCTCTCTCTCTCTCTCTCTCTCTTCTCTCTCTCTCTCTCTATCGCTCTCTCAATGTTTATTTCTCTCAATCTCTCTCTTTTTCTCTCTCTCCATGTTTATTTCTCTCAATCCTCTCTCTCTCTCTCTCTCTCTCTCTCTCTCTCTCTCTCTCTCTCAATGTTTATTTCTCTCAATCTCTCTATCTTTTTTCTCTCCCTCCATTCTCTCTTTCCCGGTTTCTTTTTTTTCCCTTTGTTTTCTTTCTTTCTCTTGATCTCTCTCAATCTGTTTTTTTACTTCTTTGGTCTCTCTTTGTCTCTCTTGATAGCTCTCTCTTTCTCTTTCCCTCTCCCTCTTGACCTCTCTTCTTCTATATTTCAATTGCTCTCTATTTCAGTCTTTCTTCCCTTCTTTCAATCTTTTTTTTTAATCTCCTCATTCACTACATCTCTCTTTCTAATTATATCTTATCTAGCTAAGTCTTTCTCTCTCTCATAGTCTCTCTCTTATCTTTCTAGAATTTATTCTCTCAGTCTAGCTCTTTCACTCTGTCTGTCTTTCTGTTCCCTTCTCTACTTCAGCGTCTCCTGATTTCATTTTATCTAGCTTTTCTTAATCTAAATATTATGAACATATTTTGCTATTTAAAGTGTTCAATTATATTTGCAAAAATTTGCAGTTATATCAAACTACATTCACTCCACTGCTAAATACTTTGAATTACAGACCAAGATTTTTAATTTGAACTTATTTTTAGACTTTAAAAAAAAAATCTTACAATTGAGAATTTTTATCTAAAATCAGTGACAGTTTGTGCATATCAACTGCAAAACTCCAGGGTCCCCATTTTTACTTGATACAATTGATAACAATATAATAATTTTTTTTTCTTAATTGTATTCTTAATTTATAATTTTACATTATATTATACTCAAGTTGAATGTCACTAATCATCCCCTAGTTTAAGTACACATTAGAAAATCCTTTTATGGACCTGAATGTTTTCACTGTTTTAATGACACATGTCCTAGATTAAAAAAAACCCACACATGGACTAGGGGACGCACTGTCGCAAATATCAGTACTGACACTGTTTTATTAATCTTCTAAAGCAAAAAAAGACACAAAAAGAAATAATTTCATTTTTAAATGAATAGATCAAGTTTGACCTGAACAACTAAGGCTATTAGTAAAAAGAAATATTTTCATTTTTAAATGAATAGAATCAAGTTTGACCTGAACACTAGGCTATTAGTAAAAAGAAATATTTTTCATTTTTAAATGAATAGATCAAGTTTTCCTGAACAACTAAGGCTATTAGTAAAAAGAAATATTTTCATTTTTAAATGAATAGATCAAGTTTGACCTGAACAACTAAGGCTATTAGTAAAAAGAAATATTTTCATTTTTAAATGAATAGATCAAGTTTGACCTGAACAACTAAGGCTATTAGTAAAAAGAAATATTTTCATTTTTAAATGAATAGATCAAGTTTGACCTGAACAACTAAGGCTATTAGTAAAAAGAAATATTTTCATTTTTAAATGAATAGATCAAGTTTGACCTGAACAACTAAGGCTATTAGTAAAAAGAAATATTTTCATTTTTAAATGAATAGATCAAGTTTGACCTGAACAACTGAGGCTATTAGTAAAAAGAAATATTTTTGTTGTTTAAGATTATTTCAAGTTTATGTATACATTTTCTTGTTATGTTTGTTTTGTTTTACATAATATTACAATAATGACTACATTTTTACTGAAGCAGCTAACATTAGCTAACAGCCACTAATGTCTAAAATAATAGCAGTCTGAGTCTAAAATGATTCAAATAACATTTAGGGATAGAAGAAGCCATTGAGGTTTAATTTTTTGTTTATACATATATTCAAATATGCTGTTATATCTATTTGCAACTGAGCACATTATTGATGCTGCTAGTATTATGAACATTATTATTATTATCATCATTACTTTTATTACTATTATTATTATTATTATTATTAGATAATTAAACATGGCTTAGCAACTAAAGCACTCCCACTAAAATGTTCTCTTTGTGTTGGCACTCCAAGCAGAAAGAAGGGTACAAGAAGTTGACTTTCTGCTTCTTAGCGTTCACCAGCTGTAAATTCCAGCAGAAAATTCTGGTACTTCATCTACTCGTGCACTTTGTTCTTCATCCATTTTACAGATCTGGCTTATTTGTATGCAGACTGTGTTACCTTTTTTTTTTTTTTGAGTACTGAGTGTCAATCCCATCTCCTGGTTACTACTGTACTATTCTCCCACTAAACTGTGATGATTTTTTGTTTCTTGCTTCTCTGGCAGATGCACTCCACCTTTGAAGAAAACGCCCCTAATTAGTCGCCTCCCTTGATATGCTTGTTCTCCAAAATGGGAGTCCCAGAACCCACTATATGTGCATCATATTGGAGAGCTCTAATAAATACAGCTACATGGTAGCGAATGAGTCAAAAGAGATAAGCAAATTCAAATGACAAAGAATATTTCAAATACCTGAACTTATAATGCAGGGGAGATGCAGAATTCTCTGGAGCTGGGATTCCACCACAGTAAGAGATGTAAGATGTTACCTACCCGATGAAAATATAAAACTGTTAGGAATGTGATAAATTAATGGCATGCTAATCATGAACGCTGGACAGTTAAAATATGATATATCCTCACATTTCAAGCTGAGATGAGTTAAGGAGTTACATTAAAGTATTTGTGACATTCCCATAAGCCATTTGTCCCAATCTTCAGCAGCCAGTGCAAAGTTCCAATTCTGATGGTACCAGTAGCAAATTGTAAAATAAATTATGTTCTCATTCTAAAGCTGTAGGTTTCAGTGCATGAGAGACATGGCTAATAAAGACATCCTTTTAGGGGTGCCTTGTTGGTCATGTGTCTTAGTAGACTTTCTTCTCTGATCTGAGGTGTTGTCATCATTTGGAGTTGGCGGTTTGATTCCTGGCACAGTTAAGTATTGCTTTAAATTGTCCTTTAACCTAGTTTGTCCTTCTATCTTTTTCCTTTCTATTAGTGCTCATCAAAACATGTCTATTTGTTTATTATATATAAGAGCCTGTCGGCTCTGTGGCTAAGTAAATGCAAACGCTTCGTAATGCCGGGGTGCCGGGTTCGATCCCAGCTGCAGGCCATGCGCCTTGCATTGGTTTTTACAGTGATATCAGGGAGCCGACCGTCCAGAAGCAATGGCAAACTACTGGATGTAAATTTGCCTAGAGAAAAAACACAACAGCCAGGGGCTGCTGGGGTTGGTTCTGCAAAGACCTGTAAAGGATACGTAACTAACCTAAATATAAGAGCAGTACCTTTTCTTTGAGTGCTGAATACCAACCCCATTTCCTAGTTACTATTCTCTCCCACTAAACCAGGATGATTATTTTCTCCCGCAATGTTCACTCACTCAAAGAGGTCCTTGACCACACCTAGATTGTCATGCATCAAGTTACCACTAGGTCATGCAGAACCAGCCAGTCTGTCTCACTGTTCATTTTCTGGCACAACTGCTTGCCCTTAAGTAAATATCCAAAGGACACTAACAATCCATGACTTCTGAAGAGGCATTTGCTACTCAGCATGGAGTATGCCTGTCTCAATCTTTCACATGTTTTTTGAGTCTGTTACAATAAGGACATTTGTGTGTAGCTGGTTTTCATGCCAATTGAAAAGCTACATTGACAGCCTTTAACTCACATTTTAAATAAGGGTGAAATTGGCCAGATTTCTATGGCTAGACAGTTAACCTTTAATCAACTTTAACAATGCATCTTGGCAGTTAACTTTTTCAGTAACAGGCAGTTTATTTTCTTCAATGTTTATCCTTAAGAAGAATGATGGCTTGTTGAACTGTGATTTACAGCAAGGCTGTGATATCTGCACATTTTGGCCCACAATTTCAACAAGACCAAAATAAGTCACCCTTTATGACATCCCTTTCTGAGACAGTGGGTCTGTGCTTTCCCCTCTCTAAAATAGGCTCTATAACCCACAGTCAACATGCAGTTACAATTTAGCCCACTCTCTCCTATAAAGTTTTTTACTTCAACAATAATTGTCTGCATCAGAATGACTTAAAATACTAGTGCTCTGATAGAGCATTAGTCTGGAAATAACTGGAGCAGCAAGGGCTAGTGCAACAACTAGATATAGCAAAAAGAGTTGAGAAAAAATGTTAGTGAGTGAGTGAGTGAGTGAGTGAGTGAGTGAGTGAGTGAGTGAGTGAGTGAGTGAGTGAGTGAGTGAGTGAGTGAGTGAGTGAGTGAGTGAGTGAGTGAGTGAGTGAGTGAGTGAGTGGGTGAGTGAGTGAGTGAGTGAGTGAGTGAGTGAGTGAGTGAGTGAGTGAAAGTGAGTGGAGTGAGAGAGTATCCTGATGAGTGGTGAGATGATTGAGTCAAAGAATATCCTCTAGGCACATCGGAACAAGACCACAAGTGCTCGGCTCCCACCTTCAGTATATCCCGCAGCGTGTGGCGAAAAAATTTAGAACCTCACAAGCACGTGGTTATATGCCTGGCACTGAATGAGTTAACATTCATTACAAATAAATAAAAACCTCTCTCTCAACAGTGTGAATCAATCATCGACCAGTTTGTCCCATCTGGGCTACTACTAGAAAATTTACCTTAACATTCTGAGATTTAAACAATCCTAATCTAGACCGCAAACCAACAAGGCAGATCCCAGATAGCCCAGATTTAAGAGCTAGCGTAATGAATACAATGGCCAGGTGTGACCTGCAGTCTTATGCAGGTAAGGATGAGCTTGTGAAGGTTAAACAGCACATTTTATGTATAATGCACTTCTGTCATTAGCGTCAACACATATTTGAGGCACAGCCATTATAAGACCCATAGCTTAGTCTATATCAGATCTGGTTTATGTCAGATTTAGTCTATATCAGATCTGGTCTATGTCAGATTTAGTCTATATCAGAAGACTGTGGTCTGTGGCTCAGGGATTATGAGCACAGTTTCATAATCCTGACATATAAGGTTCGATTCAGCTGCAGAGGATTGATAGCTAACTGGGTTGAAATGATTTAAAATCGTACAAATATCTAGACAATAAAAAAAAGTAATGGCAAACTATTGAATGTAAAACTGCCCAGTAAAATCACATAGTTGGTTTACAACATCCTTTACGCAGGGCTATTTAACTGGCGGAACTCGGGTGCCGAATCTAGCTCCCAAGGTGGTCCATAGATGATTGCCAACTGTGATGTATTAGTTTTCTTTATACAATGAGGCTAAGGCCCCTGTCCCCTGATGATACTCATTTTCAACACTTTGGCCCAAGTAAACTTAGCTGAATAACCCCACAGCACAGGATATGTGATTAATTTTAACTACCATTTAGACAGAAAACATTAAAGACTTACCTTGCCGCCAGATCTCCGAACATCATCGAAACATTCCATAGCCAGCATGTGGTCAATTCCTGGATCCACTCCCATTTCATTCATGATAGTTATACCTGCATCCTTGGCTCTAAATGATGACAATTTTAATTAAATGTTTTCTTTGTTTACAATGTTAAAATATATAATTTAAAATTGTCAGCAAAGGCATTTAAAACTTAGATTATTTTCTTTGCCATCTTTTCGTATGATAACTCATAAGCCCAGCGGGCTTAGCATCAGAGGCCCAAGGGATAGTAAAGAAAGGCGTAAAGTCGGTGCATCTTGCTTTCACTGGGCTTCTAAGTAGGAATCTATTACTTAGGACTGAAAGGGTTAGGAAGAGAGTGTTCCGTTGGGCTATAGGGAGGCAAGCAAATTACCACCCATGGGAAGAACAAGTGTGACAAGCAAAGACTTGCCTGTATTAGGAAGAATCTTCCACAACTTTGACATATTTCTTCTCAGATGCTCAGATCTCAACCTGTCTGCAATCTCTATCTCTTTTATTCTTATTTCCTTGATATTTTCCCCCCCCCCCCCCCCCGCCCCCCCCCCCCATGCAATCTGATCCATACATCTTTAAAACGTGGTAAAGTCTTTTGTTGTTCAACCCCACCAGGACCGTACAATAAGAGACCAACACCCAGTGACACAAAAAGCCATTATTCGGATGAGAATCACCCAGGCACAAGTCCCAGAAACCCAGTTCAACCGTTACGTTGTATTACCCCCCCGCCCCTTTTACCCCTCCTGACTACAGCCAGGTTGGGGCTTTCAAATAATGAGAATATTGTGTCCCACACTGGGATGGGAGTGAACACATGGTAGAGGTATTCTACCCACCTGTAATTCACCAAGGAGAATGTCCTTGGGGACTTTACGATTCTCCGTCCCCTGAGTGTATTGTCTGAGCCTTTGAAGAGTGAACACTGAGGCAACTGTTTTGATACCTGCTCTTCCTTTACATTAGGTCTGAATCTCACGTTGCCAACACTTAATGTCAAGAATTCATCACAGATATCACATGTGAAAGCTTCTTAGCAGTTTCTCCTAGTACAAGTAAACTGACCAAGTTTCACTCTTATTCAGAAGAGTGCTGAAGACACATGCTTGACAAAAAAAGGTTTTTGTTTCAACTTTTTTGTCACACAAATGATTTTTTTTTAATGGGTCATGAACTTGTCAGAATTTTAGAAAAAAAATCCTTAAAAATTAACAGATACCTGTCTCAAGACAGGAGGAGGACTGACCATAATGCCACTAGTCAAATGACTTCAGCCAAATCAAACTGAAAAATTCATTATGAAAAAATTAATCCAAAGGGAAAGAAGAAACAGTCAGCTTCTCAATAAAACAAAAATCACGAATGAGAAAATGAACACTGTTGTTAGAAAGACTTTACCAGAACACAACAAACACAGACAATGATACATCTATAAAAAAGACTATAATAATTTCGCTTTTTGGATGGTCATCCATGTGGCAATATTTTCATCCTTTAAAAACAAAAAAAAAAGCCTGCTAATAATTCACTAGTGTCTTTCAGTTGATTAGATAGTTTGCCAGAATGGCTTCCTTTTCTGCAAGTTTCTGTAGCAAATTTAATTTTGGGGTTGGGGGGGGGGGGGGGGGGTTGGGGGGGGGGGGGGGGGGGAAATTAACTGGTCTGATGCCATTGTTTCTTAATCGGGTTTCAGACTAGCAATATATTGGGCACATCATGAGGAGAATTGGACGAGAATCACTAAAGTGTGAATCAAATAGGGTTAGGAAATAAGAACTTGCTAGAGAAACCCTGAGACTCATGTTGCTGAAAGAGGCCAAGGATGCTGGAATGGAACAGAATGAGCGGCTAGACTGTGAGCCCTATATGATATATAATGGCAGCGACAGGATTATGATGATGAAATTTCAGTTATTTAAAATAGTTAAAAGCTAATTAATTGAGTCATTATTAGATAATTGTATGTGAGTTTACTTACGCTTCATGCAGGTCTTGCATTGCTGGGCTGATATAACTTGCAGTGACCATATTCTTCTGATTCTTGATGCAAACTTTGGCCACATCCGGGTGGAAAGTGTAGGGGAGTAAGCTGACAGTAAGAGATGTAAATAAAGTAACAATATACCAACATACATACACATTAGGTATGCACAGACACACACATATATAAACATATATTCTTGGTACAAACTGAAATCATCATTACAAATACGAGCGGAAGCCAATAAGTCACAAATGGTGGTTAAAAAAAAATAAATAACTAAAAGACACTGTCTCTTATTTTTCAATATAATTTCCACCAACATTAATGCGCTTGTCCAATCGTTTTATCAGTCTTCCCAAACCTGCTGCATAGAATTTCGTGCTCTGTTTTCTAAACCATATTTTCACTTCACATTCAACTTCTGCATCATTCAAGAAATGTCTCCCTCCAAGGTAGGTTTTCAGTGTACCAAAAAGGAAATCACCAAGGGCTAAGTTGGAGCTGTCAAGGTGGATGTTCCAGAAGTCCTCTCTCTAGATGGTTAAATTTTTCCTGAGTTAACCGAGCTGTATGTGGTCTGGCAGTGTCATGAAGGAGCAGTACTCCTCTAGTCAGCAGGCCTAGGCGTTTTCTTCGAATTGCAACATGAAGCATCGATGGAACTTTACAGTATGAATCAACTTTCACAGTCACCTTTTTTTTTTATTGCAGCTGCTACGTAGTCAACCATTACTTGCCTGTCACTTCTAATCATCTCCTCTACCTGCTGCACGGATGCCTATGTTGCAATCTCAACAGGACGGCTAGAACGGACTTTATCAACAATTTTATAGCGTCCTTGAGAAAAAATTTTTAACCTGCTATGCACGGCTTTATGGGATAAACATTTATCAGAACAAACAGCAAAACTTCCCTATGAATGTCCTTTGCAGGCAGCCTTTCTCTCATCCCCCCCCCCCCCCCCCCCCCCAGCCCCAACAACCGACACCATCCACCCCCCCCCCCCCCCCACAAACCCCCCCCCACCCCCCCCCCCCACCCCCCCCCCCATACAGCACGTTGTTCTTTGAAGGTACACACCATAAGTTTCTATGTTGCGAATGAGCATGCAACACATAGCATCACCTAACTAATGGAGACACAAAGTTCAATATTGCTGTCACCTAATGACACCTTTAGAAACCACCAACTACATTTTCCTGCCATCCCATAACCATTTGTGATTTATTTACTGACTTCCCCTCGTGTATATGTATATTTTGTTTCTTGAGGCCTCAAAGATGTGGTTTTATAGAAGAATCCTTAAAATTTCCTGAACAGCCACACACACAAAAAGCAACTCAGATGTTTTGAAAGAAGCAAGGACTCAAAACACAGCTAATCACAACATCAGAAAGATACAGGTCATAATTTTTGTTTCACATTACAAGAGAAGGAAAACTGAATATTTGTGACCACTGGAAAGAAAAGTGGAAAAAGAGACAGAGAAAGACAATGTGAGACTATTCTTGACAGCCTTTTGTCATGACATAGATGGGTGTCAGCACACAAACTGTGGAAAATTACAGATTATAGAGAAGAATGATTGCTCATGATGGAGGACGATGCCATTCTAAAGGATCTTCTGTATGGTAAACTGGTAACAGGGAAAAGAGTTTCCCGGAAAGCCAAGGCTACGCTATAAGAACAGATGCAAATGCGACTTGAAGGTTTTCAAGATTGATACAGACACTTGGGAGAGATCAGCTGCGGACTCCTACGAAAGATAGACTGTCACAGTTAGCAAACACAGCAAGCTCAAGCTATAGAGAGAAATCCAGCCTCAATATAATAGAGTATCAACATTTGTATGTGGACTATGTTGCTGCCACTCCCGCAACTGGACTTTACAGGCATAGCAGATTTTCCCAAAATCAACAGCACAACTTTGTGGTTCCTAGGGACTGATGATTGCCTGCACTATATATATATATATAAAATAAAACCCTTGGACTGTCAGAGTAACTAACAAGGATTGCTTGAAAGAAGCTAATGAAAAAAGATCAGTATATACAGCAATAAAAAAAAAGACAAGCACTGTTCTTTGGTCATGTAATGGGAGTTGGGGGGTGGGGGGCGGAGAGTGCTCTGGACAATATTGTGATGACTCTGAAGATCAACGGTAGAAAAGGAAGAGGCAGACCGAGAGAGATGATGATGGATGGATTCTGATGGTGGCACAGAGGGATATCATCGGTGGAAATGATCCAGAGGTCAAGGGGCTAAGATTTATGGAGATGCATGAACAGCCACACCAGTTGGCAGGGCATGTGTTGATAATATATATATATGTGTGTGTGTTTATGTGTATGATTATCACAAAGACTGAAGTATTGCATTTTATATTTTATCTTCAAATGGTTTTATTTTGGGACTAATTTGTCATGCATGTCATACAGTAACAACAAAGCGACAGATTAACATCAGATGCAGTAAAACAAACCAAGTACTGGAACAGCTAGACCCCTCCCCCCCCCCCCCCCCAAACAATCCTGATCAACACAAAGAAACATCTTATACGAAGCATATTCATTCCCACTCTATGCTACCAGTGTCAGCCATGGTCATTCACAACAAACCATTAAAAAAAATCACATGAAAATGGGTTGTCTGAGTCATGCAGCTGCCTAAAAGGTGAGGAACCAACAATCTGCAGACAATAAAGCAGGATATGTAAAATGAATGTGCATACAAAACTCAAGTTCCGGAACAAGAACCAAAGTCAAGAAGTGAATTAACAACCAGAACTTTCCAGTGTTTACAGTCAGTGAATGTAAAGAAGAAAAATAAGAAGCATCAGTGAATGTTTAGCTACAGAAGCTGTTCAACATATGACTTCACATTCACAAACATGGTACATAATGTTCAGCTGCTAACCTGATCACTAAGTCACAATCCTTGATAATATTCTCCAGCTCATCAAAGTTTGGACCCAGGTCTATGAGGATCGGGTCTACATTTGGGCACAAGCGGCTTGCAGTGTCTAGTTCTTCTTGAAACTGGGATGCTAAAATGGATCCATCAATGTTAGTTTTGTAACTGATAAATTGAAAGCCATAAACTATTTATGTCTTTAAAAATTACGCAAATAAGAGTTTCAAGAAGATCTGGTACACAGATGCTAAGATGAAAGGCGAGACAAACATATAATCATACTACAACTGGTACCATTAGCACTGGAAATCTGCACTGCCTGCTGCAGACTGTTTATGGGAAGGATCCAAGTGCTGTGATTCTGGGTCTTGACACTTATTTATGGGTTCAGTCGTGCTGTGTACACACCAATGTCTCGAGAGAAAAACAGACAAATGTTTCATCTGTACCATCATTTTAAACATATGTACTGTAAGATTTAACTTCTTCTTTTGGTCCATTCCATGTGATTTAGCAATCTTGTTTGTCCACAACCTTCTGTCAAGCATTTCTTCTTCTTCTTCTTCCTCTCTTCCACCTTGTACCTCAGCGAAGTGTCGGGGGGAGATGTAACGTTTGTTGATGAGCTCTATCAAGAGCACTATTAGGACTGATGTTCATATCTTTAAAGCTGTCTTTAATGTCATCACTCCATATTTTCCGAGGTCTTCCGCTGGCTCTATACCTGTTGTAACAATAAAGTGTGGCTTGCTGTGGCATATAGTAGCAGGGCATTCGTGTTGGGTGTCCAAACCACTTCATTTGTTTTTCTTTGATGACCTGTAAGGCTGGCTTTATTCCGAGCATTCGTCTGATTTTGTGATTTCGTATTCTGTCTTTCCTTGAAACTCCTGCAGCTCTTCTAAGGCATTTCATCTCTGTTGCCACAATTTTACGTTCATCAGAGGATGTAAGTGTCCATGTTTGGCACTGATAGCATAGTGTTGGCCAAAAAATAGTTCTGTTAAGATTCACTTTAGTAGTCTGGGATATCTGCCTGTGTGTCAGCAGGGGAGATAGTTGCCCCATTACTTGATTAGCTTTGTCACATTTAGAGCTAATTTCTCTATCTAGTTTTCAATCAGATGTGAAAATTGCTCCCAAATACTTGAATTCCTCTGTTTGTCTTAAGGCATTGTTTTTTAATTTTATTTTTAAACTGTCCTTCTGTCTTCTTATCACCATTGTCTCTGTCTTCCTAGTGTGTATTTTCATATTATTTTCCTCTCATTTGTTTTTAATCTGATTTAGGTGGTTCTGTAGCCATTCCAGTGCTTTCTGCATGAGTACCTGGTCGTCGGCAAAAAGTAATTTTGTAATATCTTCTTCATGATTAAAGTTCATTTTCTTAAGCATTTAGGCATTTAACTTAAAAAAAATGTAGTACTCTACATTTTGTTAAACAGAACAATTTTGATTTATATGCCCAATCGTATATAGAAAACACATGCATATTCATGCAATTTTATTCACTGTTTTGAAAATGTGGTTGAAATATAATGTCCTTTCACATAATTGATAAGTCCAGAAAACCAGAGAAATGATGAGCATTAAATTACTATGATTCATGTGCTGGTTCCGGGGCATTTCTTTTTAGGGTGAGACAAAGAAGAGACTGGTTACCCCTCTCACAAGCAGGTCAAGAAAGGCAAATAGTTAAAAGCTTGCTAAAACTCAATGTGTTGGGCTGAAAGGCACAGATACAGCGGCCTAGCTATAAACCACAACTAAGCCCTAGCCCTGCCCCCCCCCCCCCCCAAGAATATTTGTGGTGGTAGTAATCCAAATAATTTTATAAGGAGGTTAAGCAGCGCCTTTAACCACACACACAAATTCTCTTTAAAAGCATATACATATTTATATATTTCATGTTAATTCAAATGTATTGAAATATTGGTACAACTTACAAACTTGGGCCGAGAAAGTGAGTGACTTCCCTTGCCATTCAACCCTAGTCATGTCCTATGGCCTGTCCTATGTTGCGAGGGTGTCATGCTTTGTGAGCGTCCAGCAGCACAACTTATGCTCCACCTCCATTCTCAAACTAGACGTTGTGATATCATATGCAAAGCTTTGTTGCACTAAGCGACATCCATTCACTATGTCATGAACCCCCATGCACTTCGTCTGCTCCCCAACACAGAGCCATCTGTATAAATAATCACATCATCTGGGCAGGAATTGTTATGAATCATTTGTTGAACTTCTGATTCTGCAGCTCCAGCTGGCCAGTCCCTGCACTCACAACCTAAAGTGATTAGAACCCTACACAAGTCGGAAACTTGCTAGGACACTTTAACCCACTCCTCTCTTCGCCCAAATTCATCAAGCTTGCACACATGTACAAATGTGTCTTTAGCTTGCGCCATCAAGACAGTTCTCTTTTCAGTTCGTGACCCAAAGAGGTGCTCCTTGTCTGCAGCTACTCTGAGATATGACTTAGCCTGCAGAACTTTGAGCCTATCTGCAGCTGACTCTTTGATATGGTAAGCATTCCCAGTCCATAATCTATCACTGACAGGATCACATGCTGGAACATTGAGAGCCATAATCTTGAGAGCATTGAGTCCTGTTTGGCATTTTACCGCAGCTGCTTCAACATGATCCCTGAAGAAAAACTTGTATCGAAAATGATACCCAGGTACCGCAGTTTGCTTTCCCTTTTGATGTCACTGTCATTAATTGTGAGGCTTGGAACATTAGCTCTTACAATTCTGTTGTTTTCTCCATACCTGCACACCAGTCAGTCACTTTGTCTACAGTTGCCTGTAGATCTTGGGCTTTCTATTGTCTATGACTCCCCTGACTATATGCAAGAACATCATCTGCAAATGTCAATATCCTTCCAACACCCAGTGCTTCCAGTTTTGTAGTCTTGCTTGTATATACATTAAAGAGCACTGGTGAAATTACAGAACCCTTGGGTTGTCACAACGCATTATTACATGGTTCTGTAATCCATGTACCCAGGCGAAGAGCAACCATACATGAAAGCTGCTATCCAGTTCACAAGCCAGGGACAAACTCCCTTCTTCATGAGCACAGATATCAAAATATCCTATTTGACTCTATTGTAGGCATCCTCAAGATCAAGTGCTGCCACAACCATCTCCTGTCTATTCTGGAACCAAAACCCTCATTAACATCAAAAGCAAAAGTAGCTGCATTTTACCAGGTATCTTTCCGTGTCCGTTAACTGTCCAAACCTTTTGGCAGGAGCTCTTCCCTTTCCAAAAACATTTGTAGTTTGACAGCAATAATCTTCTCTAGTACCTTGCTAAAAGTATTCTGTAGGGTGATAATCCTGAAACTGCTGAGTCTGTAATGATCTTTGCCTGGTTTGAAAGTGGGATTAGGTAGCAGTGTACCCATCCTGGGGTACCTAAGCTGTTCTGATGCTCTGGTTGAAGTGAAAAGCCATTTCTCTCAAGTCTAAAAATAATATAAACAGTTATAATTGATATACCTGACTTGATATGAAGTGCTTACATACTCACCGACAATAATGCCAGATTTTCTTTCTCTTCCAAGATATTCAACGACAGGTCCTGACACATAGCCAGCCCCTAAGATTACTATCTTCTCTCCGGATTTCTTCACCTTTGCTTTCTGTGCAGACCTGTATAACCACATTTATAATAACATATTGGTGCTGGTTCAGATGTTAATGCTTAATATAAGATAATTAACTCCAAAAGAACAATAGGATTTACTCATTTACATGTCAGTCAGGTATCCTAAAACCAGTGTGCAACCGGGGCCCATCAAGAAAGCAAAGAATAGTAACACTGTTTTGAATTATGGCCCTTGCCTATAAATCCTATTCCTGTCCAGTAGGCTTTTCCAGCATCACAGTGACTCTGCTGTCCAGACGTGTTACGGATATTTCTGGGAAAGACTTCAACTTACAGATAAGTGATTTTGTGTTTTCTTTTTCCAAATTATGTTACTATCCATTTGTGTGATATGACAGTGAAGGATTTATTGCCACAATGTTTATTTGCCATTCATGACTGTGATAATGTGAAGTCCACTAGTTCTACCTTTTTGTTTGGTTTGATATCTTTTCAAGAAGATTTATTGTTTGATTTAATCTTTCTCTTTTAGCTTAGGATTACAATCACTGTCCAATAGATTCTTTCAAGAATGATACCCCTATCACAACTTGCTGAATACTAGGGGAAGTCAATAAGTAAGTCTTGAATGGCTATGGGATGGTGGGAAAATGTTGGTGGTTTCTAAAGGTGTCATTGGGTGACAGCAACATTGAACTTTATGACTCCGTTCATTAGGTGGTTCTAGGTGTTGCATGCACATTCGCAATATCAACAAAATGGTGACTGTACTTACAGAGTGTATCTTCAAAGAACAACTATTAATTCTAATTCTGTATCTGTCATTGCTGTCAGAGTTTACTGCTTTTGCAGTCTAGGCAATTATACTTCAACAAAGTAAACCTGTTTATTCTAATTTGTGTCAGCAGAGCTTACATCGACAAACAAACATCTTACTTAGAACTCAGTCTCAGAACATTTATGTACTCAAAGTTGGGCGTCAGTCGACCATTGCTTGCAATCACAGCCTGCAAATGTTAAAATAACATAGAGAGACCAAAACACACTTAGAGGCATACAACAAATGAGAAATACAAAAGGACAACAGAAGAAACACAAAAGAAAAAAAGATGGAAAATTTAGGTCTGACATGCTTGAGAGACAAAAGGTACAAAGAAATTATGGTAAAGTAACTTTACATTTCAAAATAGTTTTAATGTTAATGCTCAACTCCTTCTGTCCCAAACAGCGCATTATGTGTGATCGGGTACTATTCACATATACTGGTCAAGATGTTATTATCTTTTTACATATTGTGTTTATTGAGTGACTCTGAAACTCATACAACAAATTTGTTGTCTGTAAGGGTTGTTTATTTAGCTCCTCTGGAAGTAGAATACCCATGAGTTTATTATCTCCATTTATAACTCCCATGGGCATTAGCTAGGACCTCTAGGGACTGAAAAGATAAAATATAAAAATTTTTCTGTCAAAAAATAAAACTAAGACTGTTTTTAAAAATTACACATTTAATTTGTTTATCATTCCTGTCCATGTAAGATCAATGATCTAGAGGAGAAAATCTGTGCTTCATTTAAGTATGAAGGGGAAATTAGGATTGGATGTTTTTTAAGGCTCCTATTGCTTAAACCATATTTAAAAAGAACATCTAACTCTTTCTGTCCTAAGTATAAAATGAGTGGTCATCATCATCATCATGTGCCCTGTAAACTGGCGTAGCCGCTCATGCGTCTCCACAGATCACAATCCTTGGTTGCCTGAAACATTTCTCTTGATGATATCACTCCTTGCCATCATTTCAGCGCATCTAGCATCATCTCTCTGCCTCTATCCCTTCTTTCCACTGATCTTTCCAGTTGTCACGATATTCTCCAATGTTGTATATAAAGATCTACCCTTATCTACTCACACAAAAGCCAGAAAATATGCCCTGCATTACTGCTGTTCTTATGTTTAATCACAGCATATTAAATAAATGTGACAACATATTTTTTTTTTACAGGATATAATCTTCACCATCATCTTCTTCCACTTTGACTGTCAAACATCACAGAGGTGCTGGGCTCTAGTGGTTGCACTGGTTATTCTCATTTTTGGCTTTAAAATGTCTTTATTGTCATCTTTAAATTTCTTCACAAATTTTGAACAATGTGAATTGAACAGATGTATTCTATTCTCAGGTGGTTTGCTAGGGCTCTCCTAGGTTCATCTATATTTGAACACAGTTATGTTTAAAAAAATAAATTACTGACATCCTTAAAAAATCTGGTTATCAAGGGAGACTGGCCTTAGAAACAGAATCTTATCTCAGAAACTGAAATATTTTGGCCATATCAAGTGCCTCTTTGGACTGGAAAGAACAGTAGGGAAAGTCGTGGTACCAGCAGAGGTCAACTGGCATGAAGATGGGCACGTGATATAAGAGACTTCTTAGGCAGGAAAGTTCATGAGGTTGGAGAGCTGGTGAGAGATTGTTTCTTTAGGCTGTGATGAGAGTAACATACTTAAAGAACTGATGCATGATGATGATGATGATGATGATGATGATGATGATGATGATGATGATGATGATGATGATGATGATGATGATGATGATGATGATGATGATACTCACATTTAACAAATATAAAAATAATTCAGTTTAATGCATGTATTTTATTGTTGTTCTTATTATTGTTATTACTGTTCTCACTGCTTTATTGAAATGATTCCTCTGAGACTGAATAGTTCATTCAGCATTTTAACTGTTTCAGTCCCATGCAGTTGTTACTTACTCTCAAGGGGTTGAGCTTAACAGTAATAAACACTAAGGTTTAAAGGAGTTGACCGAAACATTATGGGACAGAAGTAGTTGAAATAATATTTCAAAAAGAAGGGTTAATAACAACACTTGTCTGTAATAGATGACTGCAAGAACAACGTTCTTTCATTGGAATCAAAAAGATATGTATGATTAATTTATTAAGTTTCTTTATATCCATCAACATTTACATAAATTAGTAATCAACTTACATTTTTAACAACTGGGCTGCAGTCATACTCTTCAAAAGGGGTCTTGGCATTTGATTTCAGCTGTAACAAAGATCATTTACAAATATAATGATGAAATATAAGCAGCAGTTAGGAAAAACATTTTGAGTAACTGTACAAAACATTCATCATCATAAATATTTAGCAGGTCTCTCGCCAGCTCTAGGATTGTTAACTTGTCTGACAGGTGTAGTAGAATAGTGGCTGTCATGTTTGTTTGCTGATGTGGTGGTTATGTTTTCAAATCACCTTACAAAGTATATTTTTTTTTCTAAACTGACCTGAGCTGTCAGGTCACACCAACCTAAAATGGTTACCAGGACATTTTCTGTGAAATATAGACTGGGTGATGAAAAATGTTGTGTCTAAATGCCAGTAATGACTAGGAGTCAGAAAGGGGAGCACACACAGGTGGGAGATCTTGATTTTGCTGATGATATTGTTCTGCTAAGCAAGAATAGCAGCTACGTGCAAATGAAAATGGATGATTTAGCAAATATAGCATCAAGGGTTGGACTACAAATAAGTTATGAAAAGACAAATATATTGAAGACACCAACAACAGATCAAGAAGATGTAACATTAGAGACAAAAGTAATTAAAGTCACAGATCAATTTACTTATTTCAGTAGTAATTTTGATGATGAAGAAAATACAAAGAAAGAAATTATGACACAGGCTGGCAAGGTATCAGAAGCTTTTAATAGCTTGAACAAAAAATATTGTAAATTGTATAGTTTTAAACCCAGGTAACATATTTTCAATGTTAATGTTTCAGTTTTAACAAATGCAAGTTAAAGTTGGGGAACCATTAAAGACATGGAACAAAAGTTAAATGCATTTGACAACAAATGTCTAAGGAAAATGTTGAAAATAAAATAAGATGAATTCAAAAGGAGTGAAGAAATAAAAGACACACTACCAGCAACTAGTATCAACAGTTATAAGACAGAGAAGATGGCGATAAATTGGACACATCCTTAAAAGAAACCAGCAGAGAATCACCGAACAGGCATTTAAATGGGAAATAAATGGATTAGGTAGGCGAGGACCCCCAGAAGAAACCCTAAGATGAACCCTGATGAGAGAGGCCAAAGGTGCTGGACTGGATTCCATCCATGTTATTGAACTGATTACACATGATAGAACAGAATGGAGGCATAGACTGCGAGCCCTGTGTGACACAGAATGGAACAACGGGATAATGAATGGAAATGTGGAGGACATGATCATGACCAAATCTCTTGCTTAGTTCTAACTAGTATAGACAAATATTTAGCTCAATATGCCTCAGAAGGTGGATCCTTTATATTTGATTCTGTGTTAATGGTTTAGATGATCATTAGTTCACAGCAGTATAGAACCAGAAATGTTTTGTCTGTTTAATAAGCGTCATTGCATCCATGGTGTACAATATAACAGAAAACCGGGTTCTCAAACTAAGGTTTTTTTTTTGGGGGGGGGGGGGGGGACAAGAAGGGGTTCAACAGACCTCTCCTCATTTTCTGTTCCTCTAATGTATGTACAAAAAGATATATTTGTCTTCAGTAGACTAGCCTTGTAATGTCTGTTAGTAGACAGTAAGAAGAAAACTTATTCTAAACTAAAAATAAATTCAGTTTGTTGGCACTAATTCTGCTTGCAGTGGTTTTTTTTGTCAATTCTCCATCCCAAGTCTACCCAGAAATAATGGCCATCATCGGTTTCACTGACACTCCTCTTTATCTTCTCTGTATTCTTCCTTTTGTATGTATGTGTGTGTGTATGTGGGTGGGTATGCATGTGTGTGTAAGTGAGTAAGTGGGCGTGTGCATGCGAGTTTGGGCCTGTGCATGGTAGTGTGTGCATGCATTTTATCATCGATGCGATTGTATTTTTTCTTGACATTCATAATATACGTATTATTAAATGAACATAACATGCTTTACTGATAAAATACAACTGCTGTGTGAAAGATGGGTGTTTGGAAGGGGCGAATGTAAGACGGGCTTGCGTGCCCAATTTGTGAACCTTTGAAAATAAAGTTTGTTCATTGGTTCATTCTCCATCAGCTCCCACCTGCTGAATCTCTTTTCCCACCTCATTTTCATTTTTCACTAAAGTCATGAGCAATCTCCTTCTTTGCTTTTTATTCCATTGGAACATCAGTCCGCAACCAACTTCTTTGTCTTCGCCCTCAACGTTCCTTCTTCCCTGACCTCTCCATGACCTTTACCTCTGCCTCTTTCAAAAATATACCTGAAAATATTCACGATAAAATGCATCGGTTCACAACCAACTGCTTTGCCTTCTCCTTCAACCTCTTCCCTTCTCACATGTAATCCCTATAATATTCACCTTGGCCTCTTTCAAAAATACACCTGGAAATGTTTATGATAAAATGCCCTCACCATTTCTTCCACATACGGAAGCAGCAAACTGCCAAAATATTCTGTGGATTCCCTGGGGATCTGGGCTGGCATGTTGTCAATGGAGCAGATGAGAACACCATTGCCTGCAAAGCTGACAGATGTCACAGGTGGAAATATTATACATCATTTTTAATGTTAGTTTTTAAAAAATACTGTTAAATCTAAACTAACAGTAACACATTAAGCTGGTATTTATAATTAACTCTTTTAGACCCAATAGATTTTGCTGCAGTTGTCCAAGAGGGATGGAAATTACCATGAAAAAAAGTATTAAAATATCACTTTCAAAGTGACTTATACTATGCCAGTTTCTTTAGTACTTTTAGACCATAAGTATATTGTATGTTAACATAAAGTGCATTTCTTTATACAATAAGTCAGTAGCTAATGGCACAAGGTGAGTTGTTGGGGACCGCACATGGCACATTTTTTAGGACCAAAAGAGTTGAAGTCCGGAATCAACTTCATCGTTTTATCAATTATGGCTGTCCTACTCCGCAGAAGGCTAGACACCTGCCAAAAGCATTACACAAAGCATGAACTCCATAGCTCCTGTGAAAATTCACAGTGGTCTCATGAAAATTACATCTGTAAGATGAAGAATTCAGTCAAGAAACAAACCCACGACCTTCAGCGCAATAAGGCAAATGGCCTGGCCACTTTGCCACAGAGACCAAGATTTTATTTATAATAAAATTACCAGTAATCTATGGTGGCCGGCAAGATGTTGACCACATCATCTACTAAGTGCCAACTGGTCTGCACAATATAGGTCTAGCCCTACTTGCCCAATATGCATGAAGCCATGAAAAAGGAACCTTTACTTTTTACTAATCTATGGGTATCAGGACAGTTGCAGTAGCACAGTGGCTGGCTAGCAAACAAGAATATCCTGTTCAGCCCTCAGGGTTATATTTGGGATATATATAGTATTAATTGAGTTCTGATAGTATATATTTCTTATATTTAAATAATATATCATGTATTTACTTATATGATTAAAAGGGTAGGTGGATCTATATAAATCCTATAGTGAGTGCGAGTCTTTTCTTTGATTGCAGCTAACACAGTAAACAATTCAAGAAGCCAGTGGTGCCTTCTCCATGACAACAAGCAGCACGACGATGGAGGTGATGGTAGTAATGCAAGCATTCGTATGACTAAGAACACAAGACTATACCTGGGCATGTGCACTTAGCGATTCCATGAGCATGATCCAAGAAGGTTATGTGCGAAATCAGTGGATTGAGCCATTATAGAAATCCACTGTGTGTAAAGTTGTCTTTATCTTTATTCCGGGGCATAACCAAAAGCGAGAGACACATCGGGCATACAAAGAGACTAAGCAATCAATAAAGAACTGGCACTATTAGTCACAGGACACTGGGGTTCATATTCAGGGAAGTATCTGAGCACCAATAGACATGTCCGGAGTGCAATGATCATATCCCAACTAACTAACTAACAGTACACATACATTAAACTGGAATGATACAGAGATTTGCATATCCCCCTGCTCAAGGAATAGAAACAAAGTCACATTTCATAGGTACCTTTCTTTATCAACATTCTGTTCAGCATCATAAAGGGAGAAAGGTCTGTCGATAGTTGTGCACTCTTTCATAAATTCTATGGAGCCTCCGGGATCTGCCGATATATCACAGATAGCTATGAGACGGTGAGGGAGAGTTGGGCATCCTGGAGATGATGGAATCCATGGTGGAGACATTTGTGGTCGCAGCAAAGTCTTTGCTTCAGGAATTGTGATCAGGCGAGGAGAGCCCACAGCCCAGTAGATGCCGTTAATAATGCATGATGCGTATGGTGCAATCTATTCAATCAGATTAAAAATTTGTGAATGATAATGTTGATAGATATAACACATACTGTCTCATCATTGTTATGAATTTGTGAGTGATCATGTTGATACATATAATAAATACTGACTTTACATTTTTTTTAATTTGTGAATGATCATGCTGATACATTCAATAAATACTAACTTGTCCTTTTTTTATACAGTTGTGAGTGATCTGTTGATACATATAATTAATAAATTAATACTGACTTATCCTTTTTTATAAATTTGTGAGTGATCAAGTTGATACATATAACAAATACTGACTTATTTTTTATAATTTGTGAGTCATCATATTGATACAGATTTAATAAATACTGGCTTATCCTTTTTTTTTCTATAAATTTGAGAGTGATCTTGTTGACACAAATAATAAATACTGATTTATCCTTTTTTTAAAATAAATTTGTGAGTGATCATACTGATATATATATATATATATATATATATACATATAATAAATACTGACTTATCCTTTTTTATGAATTTGTGACTGATCATGTTGACACATATAATAAATACTGACCTATCCTTTTTGTGTGTGTGATAAATCTCTGAATGATCATGTTGATACATGCACTTCTGATGGCTGCCTTATGCTTTTAGTGCATGTGTATGATAACGGATATCCTGATACAGCAGTCTGTGTCTATTTTTCCACGAGGGACAGTGAAGGAAATTCTGTGTGTTTTTCTTTCGCACAGAAGCAGAGCATCTACGAGGTGATCTGTTTGTTATGAAGTTAAAGCTTAAGATTATATTGGTACACATCACTGCATTCACAAAAGGAATTAATTGAAGTAGACTCCACTGCAGACCAAGAAAATAGTATGGAGATAATAAACAGGCAGACCTACAAACATTTAGAGTCACCAATCGGAAAGAGAAGGCCAGTCAGAGATGAAGAGAGGTCAGTGATATCCGCAGCATTGAGGGCTTAGAATGCTAAAGAATAAATATAAGAAGATGATGATGATGATGATGATGATGCTTTATATATATTTATCTGAAAATTAGCAAACTCAACACAAATACGCACATTATGACTGAAAGATGAATCATATCTTTCTGGATGCTGTTCAAACTCTTCTGCACAAAATTTTCCACCATCTTTACGCTTGTAGTGGTCTTCTCGACTGACAACACACGCATACACCTTTTTCATAGCTGCAAGCAAAGACATAAATATTATCGTATACAAAAAGCTAGCTTCTTAATGTCTGTTTTACTCAAACACAAAATTTTATTTCAAACAGACAATGTGTTATGAACAGCTCCATTGTCCCAGTATCGTCAAAAAACAAACTAAGGTAAAAAGTTGTAAAGGTGCACAGACAGTTTTAGTCAGGTAAGCAAAGTTTGACAACTTATCACAAACATCAGAATGATAAAATCATCATTTTTTGGTCATATTATGAGAAGAGAGAAGATGGAACATGTGACCGCTGAAAAGGCTTGTGGAAAGAGAGATAAAGGAAGATGAAATGAGAAGATTCTTGAGAGCCTTTTATGATGGCACGGAGAGATGTGAGCATATAAGCTGATGAATGCTTTCGAGATAGCATGTTTTAGAGAGGCATGATCACTGATTCCAGTTGGAAAGGCACTTGATGATGATGACAAAGAAATAGAGTCCCTATACACAAATGTTTGAAAATACAATAGTAAAATTCAAAGTTAAGATCTATGAAAAGAAACTTCAATTTTAGGTACAATGCTGAAATTGTGTCACTAACAATATTAATTTTTTTCAACAGCATTTTATCATGTGTGGATGTCAGCAAAAGAAACAGGAAAAACTTTGAATAATCAATTGGCCTCAACATCCATTACAATTTCTTAAAATTATGCAATAAACTATTTGAGCTTAATTCCTTCAGTACCAGACAACGCACTGTTTGTGACTAGGCGTTGCCCAAGTGTACTATTCAATTCAAGCATGACGTAAAAGTCGACTAATAAGGAAAGTTTCTTTTCAAGTCAGAGTATATCTGCTTGAGAGGCGAGGGACTAACAGTCCCCATACAAATTATTTCAACCTAAGGCCTTCTTCTACCGTTTAAAAAAGACAAAATTTAATCAACAGTCTCTTCATGACCTGGCTGTTGAATCAGCCAGGGGCCCCAATTTTACAGACCTTTTAGATTTAGTTAATAGAGTGCTACTCTAAAGTCTACTAGTTCTGCACTGTCCTTCTACAGCCAGTTTATGTTCTGTTGAGAAAATGTGACATACTGTTTCCACACCATTTATATTTAAGTATATTTTATAATCATTCCTGTAAAACGAATCTTAACTCTTTGAGTCCCAAGGAACGCATCATACGTTCATACCTAGAAGCCTAATGAACGCATGTTGCGCCGATTTTATTACTTTCTTGACTACCCCCTGGGCCTGTGATGCTAAACCCCCTGGGACTCAAAGAGTTAAGATGAATTTTGATGAGAAACAAATATGTCAGACTGGATTCCATTCAAGATATTAAAAAACATTGCATAGGATATAACAGAATGGAGGAGTAGACTGCAAGCCCTATGTGATATATAAATGGCACATCATGTTGATAATGATAGTGATGGGACTGATGCTCTGATACTCACAGCCCTGGCACATAACTTTTGGCAAGTATTCAGGCTCAACGTACTCATGGGGCAGTTCCTGGAAAACTTCTTGTGCTCCCTTAGTAAAGGAATGATACAAAGTGTTATTTGTATCACTATCACAAGCTACTAGTGGGAATTAACAATATGATATTCTGAGTAGCAAAAATAATATAAAATATTACAGTAAGAATTCACTTAGTAGCAGAATGATATACTGTGCTAGCTGTAACAATATAATAGGTTACCTGAGAGAGAGTTAACTTAGTAACAATATGATATTGAGTGGTCCACAATTGGATGTTCACTTATGCGTGTTAACCTTTGAGACGCATTGGTTTAAGCTGGAGGGGAGTCAGGTTTTCTTCTAGTATGAATATGTTGACGGACGGACAGGTACACAGTGTGTTTTTCTGAGTGATTACATATAATCTGGTGTTCACCACAAAGTGTTAATACTTTTAAAACCAGGGCATGTAGTGTGCAGTCTCTCGCGGGAAGTAGGCTGAGCCTGTGGGGGTTTGGGCCAGTTCCGGATATTCTGCAGTCGTTAAATGGGGTTACACCTGTAATACAGAGCATGTGTGGATAACACAAGACAACCTGACACCCCTCTAATTTACACTAGCGCGTGGGAAGGGTCACTAAGCATGAATAAAACTTCTAACACGTTTGTATTTTTCGTGACTTGTTCTTATCATTCTGTCATTCTCTAAAAAGGTGATGAATCCAGTCTTAGAATAAATGATGTAGGTATCCTTCTTATGCCGTAAAGTGTTGCAGAGAGGGGTTAGATGTAATTTTCTGTCCTTTAGTAGTTGGTAGTTTTGTGTTAATGCCATAATGTATTTCTGTAGTGTCTCTTTTGATCCCTCCACCCACATGAGAACAACAAGCTACAAGGCAAGAGGCTTTATGTTCCTAACATGAGAAATGTTAATTGTGTCTCCAGTTACAGGGCATTGCAGAACAAACCCCCATCATATTTTGGCTGTGAGTTTACTTATTATATACTTAAGAATAAATACTTATGTCCCTAGGATGTTTAAAAAATATTCTGCCTAAAGAGATAAGTAGGTAAGGTAGGTAAGTTATACCCCACCAGGACATCACACAAGAGATAAACACCCGGTGACACAAAGTGCCACCATATGGATGAGGATCACCTGTGGAGGTCCTGGAAACCCTGCTCAGCCTCATTAAAGGCCCGGCTATATTTAGGGCTTCGGGCAAAAGCCCAGGTGGGGCTTCAAAATAACTGAAAATTGCATCCCACATGGGGATGACGCTTAACAAGATAAGAAAAAAAAAGTGTGCAGTTTATTAAATAATCTGTTATACAAGCTTGTACTAACAAAGGTGGCATTTTAAAAATAAAATGTAATATCCATGTAAATTGTTAGCATCAACATTTTTGTAAACTAGAAACTTCTTTTTCTTGGGAAGCTTTACTGACCTGTGAAACATTGCCTGATCCAGTAAATACAAAGGTTAAAGGTCCTATTGACTTAGGCAGACGACCCAAAGCTATTTCATAGCCCGCATCTCGTACAGCTTGCCTAGCTGATTCTGTATTCCTGTAATTATGACTTGGTCCAATATGCTGAAGACAGATTTTTAAAATACATTAGTAAATACTATTGTTTTTCTAATTGCCTCAGTCTGAAATATTTTGGTCATACATGGTACCAGGAAGGAGGGGCAGGGGCCAACCGACATGAAGATGAGCACAGGATATAAGTGACTCCTTGAGTGTGAAAGTTCATGAGGCGGGAGAGCTGGCAAGAGACTGAGTTTATATCAGGCAGACTGTGATGAGAGCGAAGTTCTGCAAAGGACCTGCTCATGATGATGATGATGATGTTACTAAAATCTCCATCATTGCCAGTCCCAAGCCCTGATGGAAAAGAAGGTCATCTACCTCACCACAAGATTTTTTTTTTTCACAGCTAAAGAAACTCGCAAAAAAAAGGACGCCAGTCTGGTCAACAGACTCTGAGATGAAATGAGCAAAGAATTACAAAACAAGCACTCAAATGGGAAAACAAACTTACTGAGAAAAAAAGAGGGCATCCAAGGAAAACATTAAAAAAGATCATTATTATGAGAAACTAAACTTGCTTGGCCGAACTTCATATCAGAAATCTGCATGCAACAGAATGGGGTGACATCTAACGTATGACAGACTGCATTGCTTGTCACTAGCTTCCCCTTTTTTCGTTTTTGGTCCTTTCTTTTTAGACCATGAGGATATATTTATTCTTCTACCTATGCAGCTGCTTCCAAATGACCTTGACCATATTTTGCTTGTCATGCATCAATTTACCACCAAGTGGTGCAAAACCAGCCAATATGTCTGCCTGTTCATTTCCCAAAACACCTTCCAGCCAATATGTCTGCCTGTTCATTTCCCAAAACACCTTAATGCCACAAAGAAATGATTCCAAGAGCACTAACTATCCCCAGTCTCTGAAGCGATCCTTGTAACATTACAGCTTACCATGAATACTGTAAGAGGTTCATAGAGAGGATTAGCACTGAACTTGAAATCCCATCCTGTAAAAAAAACATCCACTGAAAAACTCAACCAGCCAACTATCTAATCCTGTAAAAAAAAACTTTGACTAAAAAAAAAACTAAACCAGCCAGCTATCCGACACTGTAAAATAACTTCAACTTAAAAAAACCAACAAGGCAGATGTGGTCAGGGCCCTTTAGGAAGAAGTAACGGAGTCAGAAGAAAAACAAGTTTATTATGCCCTGGAGAGAATGAGGCACCTCGGTGTGCCCCGGGGGTCTGGCCAGCTCACTACACTCAGGGAAAAGGCAAGACGGACATATAACCAGATTATGACAGGTACCATCAGTATTAGAACTCTGCGCTGGCTGCTGAAGATGAGGACAGAGCACACATGGGAATGCCCCGAGTACTGTGATGTCAATTCTTGACTCAGCTCAGCTTAAAAATCCAACAGGCCAGCCATCCCATCCTGTAAAATAACTTCAACTAAACAGTGACTCAATGAATCAATCAAAAACTGATGGCATAGCACATGGGACATTCAGGACCTTCCCATACGTGCTCCCCCCACCTCCACCCCCACCCTGCCTATTTAGTAACCAATGAATAGTTGACATGCTAATAGTACCAGTTACAAGCTTATTAAAGGTCCGCCTCTGTTTGCTCTTCAATCTTGAATATCCTCCAGAACCTCTACAAAAATGTTTTCCAGCATACACACTTCTCTCTCTAACTGTGTATTTTGCTTATTCCATCCAAGACTTCCAACTAATCAACCTGCAACCCTTAGATGTATTCAGAGTTTCATAAAGAAGGTGATTTTTTTGTCAGTGGCTACTCTGAGGTATGACTTAGCTTGCAGCATTTTCATCCTGTCTGCAATAGTCAGTCGTGCAAGGATGGATCACGTACAGACTACTGGAGTGTCTCTTGTACATCCTAGAATCACCGGCATGGCTCAAAAGTGGGGTTGCAACAGTTAGTACTCACCATAAATGGAGTATGGTGACCAAGGGCCAGCAAACGTAAACCCATTCCATGAAGTATGTTGACCATCCCTGCAACACCTGCATACTTCCCAAATGCCACCACACGAGCTCCATGTTCATCCACCATCTTCTCATAGTCAATTAATCGGATATTCTGTGACAGGCAGTGAATGCAGGGTGTGAAACAACAAAAATTTACTTTTGTAAAATACATAAAGCTAAGCTTAAAAAGGAGTGCTAATTCATGAATGTCACTGATCATGAAAAAACCCATGGTTTTTTTCATTGTTTTTTTTTTCATTTTAGTCTTTCCAACAAATCTTAGATTCAGATTAATACAAAATGAATGAATGAAGGAATAAATGAACAAATAAATGAATGATAAATATATTGTACAGTCAGTAAATGAGCAAACTCAAGATATTATAAAAATATTTATAGCATCCACTCACACACAAAATGAAGAATATTGTAGAGCAAAATTTGAGGGGGTTAAGTAATGTGTGCTGAGCAAAAGCATAAAAGAAAAAAAGCAAGAGAGAAAACCTGCTAAATCTGAGAACGGAAAAGTAGAATCCAAAGCATTGAAAAAAAAACACCAACCTTTTCCACAATAGCATCTAACATAGGCATATTATCAGCCTGAGCCTTGATTGTGTGGGAGAAGAAAGCATAGGTCTTGTCTCTTAGCAGAGAATCAATTGGTACTCCTTTCACGCCCATGATAAGGGAAGCTTCGGAAAGGTCTTCCTGGACAACTGCTCCATTGTCAGTGAACTCCTGCAGAGGTAAATCCAGTTACGGTCAACAAGTTATGGTGCTAAATTACAACAGTCAAGAAAAAAACAATATGAATCCTGTAGGAAATATTGTCAACTAACAATATGAGATTCTAGCATATGTCTTCTTTTTTCTTATTTGGCATTAAAAAGGGCAGATATGTGTTGTGGTTTACAGCTACAACGTGCTCTCTTCCCATTTCAGCCTAAAATTATATAATGTTCCCCTTTCATCCTAAATTATCTTATGGCATCAAAATCTTAATTAGTACCTTTTTTTTAGGAATGCTTGTTAAAAGGCTAGTGGATTAATCCTGTTTTCCCTTTAAAATTGGGCCCCAGAATCCACAGGAGAAATTTCTATTTTGAGATGTTTGTGAATCCTCAGGAAGACTGTGATAATGGACCCTCTATTTTGAGATGTTTGTGAATCCTCTTGACATTGTGAGTGTGAACATTAAAGTCTGAGTCATTTGTGAATTCTATGCAAAACTGTGAGTGTGAACATTAAAGTGAATATTATAATGTGAAAAATCTGTGAATCCTTTTGAAACTGTGAAACTGAATATTAAAGTTTGAGATGTTTGTGAATTCTATGGAATACAGAGTCTGGACCATTAGGTACCATCTAAAAGAAAACTATTGTAGAGTTTTCCTGTCCCTCACCAAGTGCAGAAATTAGTTGGGGGAGGGGGAGAGAAAGTTTGGGAGTAGGCGATGAGGGAGAAAGATCACTACTAGAACTTCACAAATTATGATGGAACAACCATATCATAATTGAACATTTGTTCTTTAATGTTCATCCTTAAAAGGGCATTTGGCATATTGTGTTGCGTTTGCAGCTAGACTGGAATATCTGCACCTTTCAGCTCAACACACCTAATTTCAGCAAACTTATAGTAAGTCTTTTCTTTTTTTCTTCTTTAGCCCTTTCTTCCCCAGTAGAGCATAGGCCCTCAACCAACTCAAGCCGGGTTATCCCATCATTTGCTCTTGCATGCAGCTCCCCCTATCTCCTCCTTATCTTTTTAACTTCACTCTCTAGCTCACTCCTCCATATTGGGGAGAGGGAGGGGGGGGGGGGTGTTTGCTTTTTTATTTGAGTTGATCATGTTTCCTCCAATGGTTTTAGGTATTTTATTGTCAGTGGGCTTCATCCTAATGTTTAAAGAGAACTGTTTTGCAAAAAGGAAGCAGCTGGGAGAAAGAGTATTACTGTAGCAACTATTTCAGATAGAAGAAGCCAAAGAAATGACTATATCTCAGTGGGTTAAAGCAACAACGGTGGACAAACATGACAATCAAAACATTATAGTAGCATTATTATTACAGTACTATATTACAGTAGCATGTACATAAAGAAGATGACACTTTACTGGATATATCCTGAGAAGAAACCAGCAGAGAATCACCAAAAATGCATTAACAAGGGAAACATATGGATGGAGAAAGCAAGGATACCAAAAAGAAACCCTAAAACAAATGTTTATGAGAGAGGCCAAAGCTACTGGACTGGATTTCATCCAGGATATCAGAAGGGAATGCACAGGATAGAACTGAATGGAGGGATAGACTGCATGTCTATGTGGCATATAATGGTACGACAGGACAGTGATGATCATTATCATCATGTGCCCTGCCAACTAGCCTAGGTGCTCATGCGTCTCCACAGTTTACGATCCTTGGTTGCCTGGAACAGCTCTCTTGATGATATCCCTCCATGCCATCCTTTCAGCTCATCCAGCATCATCTCTCTTGGTCTGCCTCTCCCTTTATTTCCACTGATCTTTCCAGTTGTTACGATGTTCTCCAATGTCTCTGTTCTCATTATGTGGCCAAAGAACAGAGTTTGTCTCTTTCTTATACAGTGATGATGATTTACATAAATAATATTATCTTCAAACTTCAGAGTTATTAATTTGGGTACATAGTGTCAATTGAATTTTGTATGTATTCTTTGAGATGTATAGTGTCTATTGTATTTTCAAATTACTCTGGTTGTAAACTTATACATTAAATTATTTATAAATTGTTTAAAATCATATAATCAGGTATGTTGAATCATTTATCTAATTTATGTCATTAATATTTTCCTGTTCACACCAACTGCTTATGATTATGAATGATAGTATAAATAATCTCTGTTTACATAATGTTTTTTATCTCATGTTCCAACATGGTGAATCCATGATTATGCAGCTAACCTTTTTTCTTTAGTATTTCATGCTCTTGTCATTCTTTGCTGCAGATCATGTATCAGCTAATCCCGTCATCTCATTGTAAGATGCAATTTTTCGTTATCTGAAGCCGAACTCTGGCTTTTGCCAGGGGCCGCAATATAGCCCGACCATATATACGGTTTATGGCTGAACGCTGTTTCTGGGACCTCTCAATGGGTGATCCTCATCCACATGGTGGCACTTTGTGTCATTAGGTGTTTATCGCTTGTGTAATGTCCTAGTGAGGTAAAAATCTACTACTACTACTAAGAGCATGTATCAGCAGTCGTCCTCATGTGGGATGCAATTTTTGGTTACTTGAAGCCCCACCCTGGCTTTTGCCGGGGGCCCTGGATATAGCAGGGCCATAAATATGGCTTAACAGCTGAATGAGGTTTCTGGGACCTCATTCGCATGGTGGCACTTTGTGTCACCAGGAGTTTATCGCTTGTGTGATGTCCTGGTGGGGTATAACTTAACTACCTTTGCTGCAGATAGCACCCGATCAATTCATTTCCATGAATCACATTCTATATCCAGTGACTCCATGTGTCCGTGGTTCTGCCTGTATATTATCTCTCCAAAATATTCTTAGCCTGCCATATGGTCTGCTCCAGCTCAACATTTTTGCATGCACAGTTTTTGTTTCACTGAGTGTTATATGCCATTCTCTCTATATGCCTCAGCCATAAAAATCTATTACCTTCATGATGGAAGTAATTAGTGGTGGTTTAAACAGATACACTTTGTTAATTCTTACTCTTCATATAAAAACATAACGTAAAATAACCTGCATTTTAACAACAAAAATGTGGGCAAACCTTGCACTGGTGACCCTAAGGGACACAATCAATGGTAGTTTACAATGATCATAAGGGAGATAATTCACAGTTTCTGTACTTTTAAGCAATAATAGCATTTTTTCACATGTAATATTTTTTTGAAATAAAGGTAAGTGTTAGTGCTTGCGTTAGGTTTAGCCCTAACTCTAATCCTAGCCCTAATCTCAAACAATATCAAATATGAAAGAATATTGATATAGTGTGAACTTAAACAAACAATGGATTTCATCCCTTGGGATCGGCACTTACATTAACGTTGTTTACGCTAAATATTATCTGTTTAACAGTTTCTCATACTCATAATCCAGTTTCGTCCTTTTTAGGACGAAATTTTTTGTTATTTGAAGCCCCACCCTGGCTTTTGCCAGGGGCCGCAATATAGGCGGGCCATAAATATGGCCAAATGTCTGAACGCGGTTTCTGGGACCTCTCCGCGGCGATCCTCATCCGCATGGTGGCACTTTGTGTCATCGGGTGTTTATCGCTTGTGTGATGTCCTGGTGGGGTAGAAAGTCAGTCAGTTTCTTATACTTTTCAACAGTTATCCAGTATTCCTTACGTCCTTCTTAGGACGTTATTTTTTGTTATTTGAAGCCCCACTCTGGCTTTTGCCAGGGGCCGCAATATAGGCAGGCCATAAAAATGGCCAAATGTCTGAACGCGGTTTCTGGGACCTCTCCACGGTGATCCTCATCCGCATGGTGGCACTTTGTGTCATCGGGTGTTTATCGCTTGTGTGATATCCTAGTGGGGTTAAAAGCCACGCCACGCCACGTTATCCAGTTTTTTCCTTTTTAGAACAAAATTGTTTGTTATTTGAAGCCCTACTCTGGCTCATGCCAGACGCCGCAATATAGCCCGGCCTTAAATATGGCCTAATGCCTGAACGCGGTTTCTGGGACCTCTCCACGGTGATCCTCATCCACATGGTGGCACTTTGTGTCATCGGGTGTTTTTTCACTTGTGTGATGTCCTGGTGGGGTAGAAAGTCAGTCAATATCTGTTGTCTCAATTTGTGAGTGTTTTTTTTTGCTATTTTAAAGCTCCACTCCGGCCCTAAAATAACCTAATGGTTGAACGGGGTTTCTAAGACCTCTCCCTGGGTGATTCTCATCTGCATGGTGGTACTTTGTGTCACCAGGTGTTTATCGCTTGGTGGATGTCCTGGTAGGGCTGAATCTCACTCACAGTAATGTTGGCTTACAATAGACAGCATTCCTTAGGGTCACCAGTGCAAGGATTGCAGAAATGTACGAAAGTTAATATTCAAACATACAAACCTTCATGCTGAATGCTCTACGATTTGATGGCTGAACTATGACCTTAATCCCAGACTTGACAAGCTTCTTTATCTGATGTGGAGAAAGTGGCGCTCGGCGTTCCCAAACATTGACAGTTTCTCGTCGGATGGCCATGACCGGATGATCCGACATCCAGTGGGCTTGAAATGGTGATACTCTTGCTAGCACAAGATTGCGTGAAAATGGCAGAACAGTATGCAAGCAAGTTCTCCCCATAAACAACTGATGAGCCATCGTGAAGTTTCTGACAGACTAACAAAATTGTCTGTTTCTTTTATCACAGTGTAATTTTTAATTGATAATACTGTTTCCAACACAATGAAATGCAAAACTACCAGTAAAATGAGCAATTAGCCTCAATCCATTTATGGCAAGTATTCTGAAAAAATGTACATTGCCTTTTTTTGTTTGTTTTCAGTTTCTATGCAACAGACTGCGAAACATCAAAAGATTTTTTTTTAAATGTCACACTTCATAAAATATTGCGTAGATAAATTTTTATTAACAAAAACTATTTTTTCTGATCCTTATGTGTATTTTCAGAACAAAGTGTACTGCAGTTTTTCAAAGATTTTCAATTAATCTTTTTTAAGAAAAGAGCCTTATTTATAACATACTACTACATTACAAATCTGTACTGTAACTTTCACAGTGTCAAAAATTACTTGAAAATTACATCATGCAACTTGATCCAGGTTGCCTGCCACAAAAGGTAGCCTCGCAGGAACCCAAGAATTTGCAGGTCTTATCTCCTTAATTCTCATTAGTCACCGTTATATGAAGTTTCAGTCTTCACCTATTTTAAACAGGAAACAACAGTCAATGTCAAGGTTAATGTGAATTATTTTTAGATAGGACCATAGTACATATAGGCTTTACTGCAATAATAGATTTGTTTATTTACAAGTAAAACAGATCGGCAGGGTGGGACAAAGGGAGAGATAACATAGGATAGAGAGAGAGAGAGAGAGAGAGAGAGAGAGAGAGAGAGAGAGAGAGAGAGAGAGAGAGAGAGAAACAACAAAATACAAAAATCCACATAAGGCTGATGTGAATTATTTTTAGATATATCTTTATTATTATTTAATTTTTGTTTTGCTAGATATGACCTATATGCTTTACTGCAAAAATAATTGTTGTATTTCTGCAAGTTTGTTAGAGAGAGAGAGAGAGATTGAGAGAGAGAGAGAGAGACAGTGAGAGAGATAGGGAAAGAGACAGACAGACTTGCATGCAGAAACCAATTGTGAGACAAAGAAAAAAATATCCCAATCACTCCTAATAGGTGCAGTGACCATAAAAGTAAAAAGTAAAGGACCCTTTTCCAGGCCTTTAAGAGTATAGGGCATATAGGGCTAGACCTATATTTTATAGACCAATCAGTGCAAGATGGGTGTTGTAGTCAGCATCATGTGGGCTGCCTTTACTTCCTGGGACTGCACCCGGTACCCACATAAAGACACTGAAATGGCTGCTGTATCAGAGGATGGGGGTATGAATGGGAAGGGCAAATGTACTAGAATGTTGATACATACAACAGGTAATGAGAGAGAGCCACAAAGAGAGACAGAGAGAGAGAGACAAAGACAGAAAGAGAGAGAGCCACAGAGAGAGACAGAAAAAGACAGAGACAGAGAGCCACAGAGAGAGACAGAGACAGAGAGAGAGCCACACAGAGAGAGACAAAGACTTTATATATGGCCTTTTTGGAAGCAGTAAACTAATGAGTTTAGTAATATCAATTTTAACTCCACTAGGATATTTTGGGTCTGAAAGAGTTAAAGGAAATATCTAAAAAAAAAAGATCTGTGGTAGTATCAAGGTCAGTGCATTTGCCTGTCATAATAAGGGTTCAGGTTTAGTCCTAGCAGTATCAGAATTAACATATTCTACAAGGGCAGCACTGCTATTCGACCTAGCCTCGTGAAATATACTAGATATTTTTGAGGATTACAATTATCAGTAATGATCAGATGTATTGTTCTGTGACAAGATTTGTAAGTATCTAATACCTTACACTTATCCTGAATATCTTGTCTTGAAACACTATACTTAAAATATTTCAGTTGACAAATGGTGTAACCAATCTTTTAGACGTCCTGGGGGGGAGGGGGGGGGGGGGGGGGGGGGGGGGTGGATATGCAGTATTGCATACTTATTTTTATAGTAAATTTATATTCTGCATATGTTACTGAATAAACTACAACAATCTTTGTGACATCTTTCATGAGATTTCCTTGAAATTTGTTAAGTATCTGCAGCAAATCAGCCAAATCTTCCTTATTGACCAAATCTGTGTCATTCGAAATTTTACTTTTGGCTAAAAACGAGATCAACTGGCACTTGAGAAAACAATTTTTTTTTTATCTATCTCGCTGACAGAAAACAGCTGGATCAAGGCCAAGATGACCATGAGAAATTTAGCACTATAAACAGTTTATACAGGTCAAGGCCTTGCTTTCTCTTGCAATGCTAATTTACTACATGGCGCTAGGTTCATATTTATTACTTGCTGTTAACTGTTAGGTCAAGTAATCAAGGCTCCCATTTTTCTTCCTATGATATTGCCTGGTACCAATTTTAGGTGGATTGGTTTTAGTGTCCAGGTCATCATCATCATAATGTGCCCTGCCAACTGGCATAAGAGCTCTTGCGTCTCCAAGGATCACAATGCCTGGTTGTCTTGAACAGCTCTCTTGGTGATATCCCTCTATGGCATCGTCTCAGCTCATCCAGCATCGTCCCTCTTGGTCTGCCTCTACCCCTTTTCCCACTGATCTTTCCAGTTGTCACGATGTTCTTCAGTGTCTTTCTTTTCATTATGTGGCCAAAGAACAGTATTTGGGTTCTCCTCAAAACTACGGCCACTTATTATGGAGTACGGTGGAGTTCAGTCCCCTGGCCGCATTGCAATTACGGAGTGGAGAAGAGGGAACGACACAAATGACGCAATTACTATGTGTTGGCGATAGACAGCGTGAACCGGTGACGTTAGTACTGTGTGTTGGGGATAGATGCACTGCTGTAATAATAGGGTTAGTGTTTGGGTTAGGGTTAGGGTATTGGCACTCTTTAAAACTATGGCCACTCCTAACCCTACCCCAAACCCTATTATGACAGCAGTGCATCTATCGCATCTAGAGGCAAGGAACCAACAGTCTGCATAAAAATGAGTCAGATCTGAAACACCGAAGTGCACGCAACACCCAGGTTCTAAAACAGGACTGCAGTCCAGAAGTTGACCAACAACCAGAACTTTCTGCTAGAGTTTACAGCTGATGAACGCGAAGAAGAATCAGGGGGGGGCGTGGGGTGTGAAATGGGGGGGGGGGGGGGTGGGTTAGAATCCAAACCTTGGTGTTGGTCCAAGTACAAAAGAGTTGGACAAGCAGACAAGCATAAACAGTGTATACATTCTCTAAAAAAAAACATATTCTTTAGTATTTACTTTAAAAGTATTAATAGTACTACTACAGCCATTGTTTACTTTAACTGTATGAATATTACTAACAGCCATTGTTTACTTTAACAGTGTTGTTAAAATAACGACAGCTAGTGTTTAATGTAATAGCATTATTAATATTACTACAGCTAGTGTTTAATTTCACAAGATTCTTAATATCAGTAAACAAAGTGTTTACTTTAACAGTATTATTAAGATAACTATAGCTAATGTTTACATTAACATTCTTATTAAATTACTATAGCTAGTGTTTAACAGTGTTATTTTTATTGTCAGAGTTAGTATTTACTTTTACAGTATTGAGTATTATTTTAATTCTATACTACAGCTAGTGTTTAACAATGTTATTACTTTTATGAATATAGCAATAATAATACTAACAACATCACGATTCTCTAGAACTGTGGTTCTTGTGATTGTCACACAGTGGTACGAGTGTCGCACCAAAGAAGAAACGTGTGCCTCGCCGCACAATATTCCCAAAGACATCAGTGGAAACTCTCTAGCCAACCTTTATTGTGAAGACGGCACGACCTAATTTACTGACCTATTTTTACCAGTTTAATTGTACGAAACAAGTTTATAACATCTATAGTATATACCTCAAATTCACCAGAATACACTTTCCTGTGAGATGCAAATGTAACTAAATAATATAAAATCAATTACCAGGTATAGATGATATACTAACCGTAACAGCAAGAAAGCGTAGAACGACACTGGAAGTAAGACAGCAATTCAACAACATGACCATGTTTTTCCGTCTCAAAAAATGGAATTTGTTGTGTGTTTCTGACACACCTCCTTTTCCACCAATCACGGAAGAGTACTTTAAAATAATAACCAATCGCGACACAGATCTCAGACACGCCTTTCTAGAAACGAAAACAAACTTGACCTTAAGCTTGGGTCAGGAAAGGTTCAAGGCCAAATTATATTTCTATCTCTCTCTCTCTCTCTCTCTCTCTCTCTCTCTCTCTCTCTCTCTCTCTCTCTCTCTCTCTCTCTCTCTAATTCCATCCCATCAGAGGCCTTTACTGTCCAAGACTTTGCCAGATACCCATCCACACAAATATATTATTTTATCAACTCTTAGGTTTTTAAACATAAGCTGGTCCTACTCCTCCTCATCGACACGTGCTGGAATTCACATGGCTTCATACAAGACAATGTAAATAATAATATCGCCTGGAAAGACGAAAAGATGCTAACAACTCTTAGTACCAGAGACCTCAACACGTTCTTTTGTAACATGTTTCGCGTGTTCTTCACTTAGCGGTTTTGTTTGTTACTGTAACAATTTCTTCCCAAATCTGTTTCTTCCTTCATGTGAAAAAAAAAAAGTTGCTCAAAGGTATTTTGTGAACCCTAGTGAACTTTCTTGCTCGGTTTGCCCATTGTTGTTCTGGTCGTCCAACGAGATGAAGAAAGAGATGAAGTAACAGGCCTAAGAAGCATTATACAGGCGTCTCTTGAAGCCCCGAAGCGGTTGGAAACAGACATGACGCAACCTACGTCATACAGATTCTCTTTCTCGGAATGAAAACGTAAATGGAGGACAACGCAAAACGATTTTTTGTGCAAACAGTACACCGGGACACCCCTGCAATCTTCAGAAAATTGGTCGAGCCTGAGCAAATACCAATCAAAAGTAACCTAGTTTGTAAATAGGCGAATCTGAGTGAATGAATGGTCACACACTGTAAATGGGGACATTTTCGTAATGTTTACCGGTTATTTGTGTTGATCAGGATTGTCGTATGCTGTAAAA